AAGATCGTAGCCAGATTGCTCAAAGATTAGAAGGTCCTAGGCTGAAACAGGGTTCTTGGGCGCGCGACTCTAATGCAGGGAGCCAACTCCAAACGTTGACTTGTCATGCGAATAGCTGGCGTATGGTGTGCATTTGTCTGCTCGCCCTTTGTCTGACATGTAAAGTACCAAGCACTACACTCTCCTCCAGACCGAAACTCACACACGCACCAGAACAGAGTACACATTACAGTTCAGGTTGCCTGCCAAGATGCCTTCACTGCAAGCAATGACACGAGCTGCACAGGAGTCCAAATCAATTTAGATGCCAGAACAGACAGGTGGAGAGAGAGAATTGAGTAGCAAGAAGGACCAGAGAGGTAGTGAAGAGAAGAAACACCAAGAAGATCAGTGGACTGAACTGGCATGTCCCTCCAACAGTCAGAGATGGTTTCTAGTTATCAAGGTGGTGTTTACATGGTGAGGTCCTGGAAAAACAGCACGAAAAAAGACACAGAGAAAGAGCATTAGGCAGAGTCAAAACTGAAGAGACATTGCAGAAGTCAGAAGCAACAGCTCCTATTTTTAACCCAGTCTCACAATCACCATCGTCAAAGTTTGCCACAAGGCCACATACCGGCAAGAGTGTACAACTCAACATTAGAGAGGTGACGCACTACGTAAAGTGGAGAAACTTTACGTAAGTGGGTGAGAAAACCCCGTGGATTCGCGAGTTTGAACTCCACTTACGTAATCTGTCTGAGTACGCAGGTAGGGCTCTGATAACGGAGGTACTCCGTAAGTGGACTGGGGTGAAAAATTATGACTCACTCCCCAGCCATACACTGCCAGGTCCAGAGTTGCAAAGGGCAGCTTTGTGATTCAAAACCCCCGCATCGCGAAACATAAATCCGCATGCAGTGTACGCAAGATTTTCCGTAGAGCGACCACGTTTTTACTAACGAAATTACGTTATGCGGAACCTCTCTAATATCTCAGCCCACGGTGAACATTTCCTATGACATTCGTTTTTCCGTGGCAAATTGGCTCACTAATAATACAAAACCAGAGATACAAAATGCAAAGAAGTTGTGCAGCCCAGGTATGGTAGTGGAAGGAGAACAGCGGACAGTAGGTCTATGCATCCTGAACTCAACGAACTGATACTGGAATAGCGAGCAGGGAAAAGCATAAGTTCTTGACGAAATAAAAAAATCCTGTCACGGGTGAGCCCATCGCAGCTCAAGATTTGACTTGCACACTCGATGTGCTCTCATTGACTCAATACTGGTACAGTGTAGTATGACAACGGCATCATTGTCCCAATGGCCTCTAAGCTGCCTGCCAGCGGTACACATTTAAGTATGTTACCACATGCTCAGAGTAAACAGTTGGGTACGTAACCACGGGGTTATTTGCCACATTGTCAGCACTAGGCCAGAGTAACGGGTGTGTTGACATGGGGATGTCTAGAAGAGTCAAAGAGAAGTGGTGCACTGAATGGTAATAAGAGCAGGCATAGAACTGGGGTGCTTTCAATTGGGAAGAAGAGCTGAGCAATGTATTGCAGCCTCGATCCAGTGTCCAGAAGACCACTTGTACTTCCTCCAAAAACAAAACATTCAGGACTTTGATCAAACTGTCACTTCTGGTGAATTGACTTCTGAGGAATCGAGCCATAGTGACTCCGACTCAAACCATGCAACTTTTGTTTACTAGTGTACATGCTTCAAAGAAGTATATCCACTCACTTCAGTGAACTGTTTTTGTTCTAGTTTCTTGATCACAGTAACACACTAGACGAGTCACAACGTTTGTGTTGCCAGAGGAAGTGGAAGTCCAATAGTCACCCAACACTGAAGTCACTCCCAACCTAGTTGTGAACGCTCTCCCAATTTTGGCGGAGGCGCACAAATCGGATTGGAAATAGAACGAATGAAGTCGTGCAGCTTGCTTGGACCAACACCATTTAAGTCAGCATAAAGAAGACTACGAGCAGCGAATATTCATTGATTCGAAAGTTGCAAATGAGGAAAGTCTGAATGAAAAAATTGACTGACACTACTAGGATTCGAACCAAGGACCTTCGCTTGAGGCCAGTGATGCTGGTGTAGCCGTCATCCAAAAAGAGACCATTCAAAAAAGACTCTTGCTATGACCAAGAGTACATAAACCAGAGTGTGCAACTCGGGATGGTTCCTGTGGGAGCGTAATTCGTGCACATCATTTCTGACGGCATGGTAAGCCACAGGTACGGTGAAAGGTTGCGTAACCAGTCACGGTGGTGCAGGTCACTGAGTTTGTCCTGATTTCGGTTTTTTGAAACGGATAGCCTGGTGAATTTACTTGTCAGCGGATGTACGCAGTATACGCAGTCACACAAAAACACACGAAATCCTACAACAAGACGACTAATATCATGTAAACTTGGTTGATTTCCTGTCTGTGAAACACGAAAATTTGAGCTGTACGCAAGTCGCGGCTTGGCTGACCTCACCAGGGTGACGTAGTGCACGAACTGCGCTGTTTCAGATCTGATATGCACAGTTGCACACTCTGGTTTATGTACTCTTGCTATGACTATAAGCAAGAGTACATAAGCTCCCAAGAATCTGCAACTCCTGATAAGCTGATACCCTTTCTATGGGGTTGGCCGACGGCGAAAACTCACACCACGTGGTGTAGTGTTCCAGTTGTTTGTTTGTGGCCCGTTTTCAGCGAGCAGCGGTGTAATAAAAAAGCACTCTTTGACAGAAACTCACTGCGCGCATGCAACTCGCCAGCATTACCATGGCAGACATTCAGATTGCGCGCACGTTATACTACGTTTGTACGTAGCACGAAACGTACCTGAGACACGTGGTGTGAGTTTTCGCCGTCAGAGACCCCATACGCAGAGTTGCACTCTTGGGAGCTTATATACTCACGCTATAAGTAGCCTAGTCCGATTTCAACAACAGGATGCTACGGTGGAATGCTGTGAAAGAAATACCGGTACACTGCGCAATGTGTAGTTGATGGTGATAACTAAGCATACTTGAGATTCTGGTTTAGGAAAGCAAGCTTACCATGATAGCATTGACGATGTCATTATTTTGTGCCTTGAGAGCAGTGACGGCCTACGAAAAAGAACAATACAAAATAACCCACAATCTTATTAACAAGAACGATCATTCAAGTCACCATTACAACAAAGCAACAAGCAGAAAAGAGCAGAAGGGAGACTCCACTTTGGAATCAGTACTGTAAAGGTACAAATTTTCGCTTGGAATTAACTTTCGATATATTCGTTAGGGGGCACGAAGTAAAGTTTGTACCAAACTATAAAGTTTTCTTTCTGAACTTTCGGGGTGACAGACATCGACCAAAAGCGAAATTTAGTACGTCACAAGCCTGCTGGTGGAGTGATCTAGAAAGATTTCGTGAACGAAAATTTGTACTTATACAGTACGTAAGGAAAGAACATGCGTGATCGCTCCAAAATTCAACATTTCACTACCAACTTTGTATCCACCCCGAACCAAAGCAGCTTGGTGGAGCCAGGTAAACATATTTCTAGAACAATTACCAGAGTGTGCATCAGGTGGAGATGGCGGAAATTTATGTTGAAACAAACAAGTTCCATGCACCCAGGTAAAAGGTTGCTAGCTACGTGCAAACTAGTACATCGGCACAGAGAAACTTTGTGATGGATGTTCATCGACACACCCGTCCCATTTAGGGTCTAAAACAAACAATGGTGCGTGCTACTACTCTTCTGGGTCTACTTGGCATGGCCATGGGGGTCTGTGAGATAAGGCCGCGGTCACACCAAACAAGCCGTTTCCCGCTTGCGCTGAAAGTGGCTTGTGCTGAATGGGGTGGTTGGTCACACCACTTCGCGAAATCGGCTGGACTTTTTGTGTGCTAGAGTTTTTTTTCTTCCCGCTCATTTTTGAATATGATTTTCTCTTGTTTTCCCGTCCGCCTTCTCCAGCACACTTCTTCAGTTCGTCCAAGATCCACGCTCTCTTTCTGGTATTTTTTTCATAGTGGTGTCATACTTGGTCTTTGTTTCAAACCAAAGCTCCAGTAGTCGCCGCTCCAGTAGTCGCCGCTCCAGTAGTCGCCGCTCCAGTAGTCGCCGCTCCAGTGCTACTGTCCAGGATTCCATGATGACCGACAAAAAGGCAAGGAGAGAAGTTTCACCAACAACGAAAGCCGGAAGGTGGCAGAACACGATGCGAGCTGCAAGATCATGCCAAGATGCGCTTTGAACGAGTTTATTTTTCCCGCCACTGTACTGCGCCAGAATGGCTGAAAGTGGCTGAATCCATTCAGCGCTCCCATTCAGCGCTTTGAAAACGGCTGACTGCTGAAAAAGGCTGAAGCCGAAAATTCAGCCGTTTCCGTAGCGACGATGACGTCAAAAAGCGCTTTTTTCCGCTGAATGGCTGAATCGCGCTTGGTGTGACCGCGGCCTAAGAGCCAAGTTAGTGTGAACAGAACTGAGAGAAGAAAAGAGCTAGTGCATTCACCGCTACTTGAATCGTCCTTGGTTTCGAAGCTGCAGAGCAAATCGATCTTGCTACCACTCTCAATATCTCTTGTGCAGTTTAAACACGTGCATAGTTGCTACATGCACTCTGTAAAAATGGAGCAAGGCCTAGTTCACTTACACGTGCTCTGGATACATTAGCTTGCTGCATGACCAAGTCAATGTCCTTGGTCTCAACACCAGTCTCATCGATCTCCTCGTCATTCTCCTCCTCTACTGGAGCGACAGCAGCAGCACTGTCCTTGTCCTTGGTTGCCTTGCTGGCAGCACTGACATCAGCGGCCTTGAATTTCTCGGCGGCCTACACAAGGCAAGGAAGAAACAGCAAGCGTGAGAAAAATATTTGGCAAAGCATAATTATAGGTATGCAATTTATCACTAGATCCAACAGTCATACGCCAACACAGTTTACCGCTTCACAGTACATATTTATGGGTGAAAGCATTTCAAAAGAAAGGAAGATCAAAGTTCACGCATCAGCCTTACCACCGGCTATACAATTGTGTTGAGAAATAAAGGAATTTTGGCCGCGCGACAACAGCACGGTGCCTGATTATACAAAGGTGGCAGGCGAAGTGCCTAGCGATGAAGGCGAGATGGTAAGCCTTACAACAGGTGCCCAACATGGAGCGAAACCTCGCTAGCCAATGTACACTTACCTGCATTTGAGCTTGCTGGCTGAGATCCTCGATCTAAGCACCAAGGAAAACAAAATGAAGAAACAAAACATCCAGCTTCATAGTAACATGCAACAATCAAAATATAAGGGTGCCACTCAAGCCTGGCTTGCTCGTCAGAATTGCAACACAGTTTCAATGAAGTTATATTTCACGGACAGCTTTACATGTGCAGGTATAACAAATAACCCGAACCCCAAAGCATGCAGCTGTGATTTCTTTTCTATCGGCCAGCTGTGTGACACACCGCTTTTATTATAGCATATAGCTTGATCCGCGCAATGCAAACAAGCACAAACCAAACCTTTCCTGCGGTTTGAAATTTGTAAAATTCTATGTCGTTCAATGCGTGGAGAAGCGAATCAAGCAAAACTTAGTTCAAGTACATATCGAAGGCAGTATGCTGTGGACTGCTCCATTACCATAGGCGAGTCCTCTTGGTTTATGGATGCTTGGCACAGAGAACTGATGCTAAGGTATCATTCTACTTTACAGTACTACGAAAGGCCTTAAACATCAAATCCTGGTTGAGGTATTTCACCATTCTCACTGAACATACGTTGATTAGTTTTGTTGCACTGCTCGTGGCAATTCTAAAATTACGGCAAAGCCGTGAAACACAGCATGACGACACTCCGCCCATACAGAGGCAGAGGTCCTCTTTCCATGGCAAAGTACTCGACCTAATGATTAGTGCATTACTTGAGAAATACATGTAAGGAATATCTCAAGTCTCATTCAATTACGCTTTGACCTGGATGTTGGAAAGCAGTATGCATGTAAATAAACAACATATTGCACACGGCATTGTCGGCTATCCATACCTTGGGCTCGCCAAAGACGATGTAAGTATCTGATGCTGGGCTCTTGTATACATCAGGAGTAGAAATAGTAAAAAGGATGGATTTTGACTTGCGGATAGTTACACGGCTAATTCCTGGTACTGCCTTCAGACCGAACTTGGACAGGGCTTTTCTGACTTTCTTCTCGCTTCTGCTCTGCTTGGCCTTGGCGCCCTCATCACCGCCAGAGGCTAGGGATCCTGCTCCTTCGCCAGCCTCAGCGAGTTCTGGAACCTCATCGTCACTGTCGGTCTCAGACGAGACATGGGCGACTGGAGAGTAAACAGATAACTTTTTTTCAGATGGAACTGGCCCGTAAGAAGGGTGTTGATAATACTACTAATCCTTACCTTCGGCCTCTGGTCTCTCCTCTGCAGGCACGGCCATGGCTGAAAGATAGGCCTCGGAACCTTGGTTTACGAGGACGATGAGTTAGTGAGTTGAAAGGAAAGGAAAGGTTGGAAACTGCGGCGCCATTTTGCAAAGGGCATGCATACAAAAATTGATTTTGCAGCTATGTGCGGGGATTGAGCATGCGTAACTTATTAAAAATCGACAAAAATAAAACTCACAAAACAAACAAACCTCTACACACGTACGTGCAATGATTATTGCCGGCATATACGCGCATGCCGTCCATCGACAGGCAGCTTGGGAATTTTTGTTTCGTCAGTAACAGTGTGGGACGAAGAAAGCTGCTGCTGGGTATGGAGACTGGAGTGGTGGTGACAGTGCGCTGAAACAGGTGTGGAGTTCAGGTCAGACTCAGAGGTGTTTGCGACCAGTTCCTCAGGCATCACTTTCACGTTTGATCAATCAGGATTAGTCGACTCAGTCATCATGAACGGTTGGATCAACAATTTTTGAACAGTATTGCAGTCTTCATATCAGGGAGTCGACTAGTATTATACGACTCCCTGCTTCATATAGCTCAGTTCTTGACCTTACCGGTAGTGAAACCTAGGCTAAGGGCCAGTAAGGCCTTGCCTGTACCATCTGTACAGGCTCAAGCAAGATCGGAGACGAGACTCAACAAGTCAAGTGCTATATCTATGTGTACCTGCTGGTGGAATCATTCGTGGTAGATCAAAATAACCAATTTCAAGCTCCCAACCACCACCTGCTTTAGGACTTGAATGATTTCACAAACCAGCGTTCGTGCTTTCTCCTCATGTGAAGTACAACCAATGACACCTAGAGAAACAGCGTTGGTGACCATTACTCGGCATTAGTAGATTACTACAGTCTACAGTGTGTAGCTCTGTACAAAGTCATACACGTTTTCACACAGTAATACTCATAGTAATGAAGCAACCATCTACCAATCACCAAGTCCTTAGGCTAGCCGTTATCAGGCCTGCAGGTTATTCTAGAGCCGTGGAGGTTCGTGTTAGAAAATTTCAAGAAACACTGATCAGATAGCATTATTCTGCTGCATACTCAGTTACCAACACTACTGAGTACTGTCACCATGGTCACTACAATCAAGAGTACATAACCAAGACGGCAAGAGTACATAACGTGGGTTATGTACTCTTGCTACAATGTGTGCTGTTTTTCATCTCCGAACTCCGAAGTGAAGTCCAAGGCAAGTGCAACACTCGCAGCTAGCTAGCTAGCTGTAGTGTAGCTGCACTGACTACTAACTACAATTAAATATAAGCTTACCTAAAGTCCTTACTTCAAAGTCTTTGTACAACTAGCTAGTGCAAGGCGTCGCACGTAAAAGTCGTTCATGGCCTTGTTCACCGCATGCGATGTCATGATCAGCCGCAAAAACAATCATGTCATGTCAAGTAAGTATTCATTAGTTTGAGGGAAAGGCGAACGGGAACACTCCGAACAGTCTGCTTATGACCGAAGTGGACTTTGCATATCCATCACCATGAATGATCCAGTTCATACGCTTTGTATTATAAAATAATTATAGCCTAGGCAGCGACGATATGTCGATTTTCTCGACGTTGGCAATGTCCAGGTTTCTAGCAATATCCAGGACAAGCCCCACTGCCTTGAAGTTGGCAAGTGGATCTCGGCCTGCAGCTCCTTGCATAGTTTTGACCTCGCGGACAATATGCGACTCTGGGGCGGCAGGCCAAAGCCGCCGGAGCTCGAACCTAAACGCTTCCCAATCTCCCGACGCTGCTGCGGAGTTGCGGGCAATAGTCGCTGAATTCGATGGGTCAAAACCCGTCGAAGAGGCACTCACTCTTCCATCTGCATGGTAAGACAGTACGGTACATGTGGCAAGTGCTCGTTGTGTCCGAAAATGGGAATGATGCCACAATGGAAGGTGCCTTGGATCATGTACCACTACATGTCTACACACATTACACAGTGTTCTCAGCATTGGACATGATGGTGCTTCATATCCCAGAATGGCATCACAAACCTGAACACCGAAGGAGTCATAGCATCTACGTAGGGAGAGGACACGAGACCATTGGCATTGTAGACCTACAGTCAATTTCGCTTATAATGACGGCACTCGGCGCGGCTTCAGAAAAGTGTCCTTATTCGCGAAGTGTCCTTATACCCGAAGTCTCATTATAATGTATTACAGTTGGATGGGACTTTGCTCTGGGCATGGAAATTCTGTCGTTATTCGCGAATTGTCGTTATATCCGCAGTCGTTATTAGCGAAGTTGACTGTACAGGAAACAATGTGGATTCAGACCCGGATTTGGAAGTTCCAGGTTGTCCGTACAATACCATATTAGGCTAGCGTTCGTAAATCGGCCCTGCCCAGCTGGAATAGGGCCTGGTGCAGCCCGGGGAACAAAACCCAACACAGTTCACGTTACAGTCACCTGTGTCGTGTCAGGGGCGCCGGGGCGTTCAAAGGTGTTCTACTGTACAAGCAGAAATATTCGTCTGGAATTTAATCTCGTCTTTTTTGTCCAACGAGCTGTTGGACTAAATTAAATGCTGGACTAATATTGATTTGTCCAGCTTTTCAATACACTCTTATGATCCATGGACGAAATTTACAACCGGACGAACTCCCTTTCTTTGGAGTTGACGAATTTATTGACCGACGAAATTTTCTGCTTATACAGTACATTGGTGCGGCTATGTTTGGTGTGGTAGCACTGGAATACTGTGCTGTTTTCCTATATAATTGCTCAGTTACAACAACACTATGCGCAATGCCCATTGACATGGATCTGGGCCCAGGCAGTTCCAGCACCCTTGGAAACCGCATTCATAGCTTATGAAAATTATCCTTAGTATTACTACCATGTACTACGGTATGGAGCTAAAACACTCGCCATGGCCCGGGCCTTGGCAAATACAAGTCGTTGTCATACATACCCCGCACCTGTCTTCATTGCACAACTGCCTAGGAATCTAAATCTTATCAGTGCCACTTTGCTACCCAGGTACACTAGGAGATGTGTGCTGGAGGCTGAGCAGCGCTGCGTGTTCGGTCGAAACTGGCAGATCGCGTGCCACGCCCATCACGTCAGCAGGCCAGGACAATTCTCCACCGTTGACGTAGGCGGCGAGCCGCTGATTGTTGTTCGCGACGAGACCGGGAAGCTGCACTGTCACTTCAACGTCTGTCGGCATCATGCAGCCATCGTCGAGCAGCGGCCAGAAGGCTGTGCAGACCATTTCCGTTGCCCCTACCACGGCTTTGAGTACGCGCTGGATGGACGTCTGCGCAAGGCCACACAGCTCAGGGGCATCAAGAACTTCTCGGCTAAGTCCTTTGGGCTGGTGAAAGCTGAGGTGAGGGCAACGTTGATGCTGTGGACATCTGCAAGGCTAGTTGATCATTGTGCCGGCCGGTGTGGTATTATCATGTAATAGGGCTTGAAAGTGCTACGTCACAGCATAGCAACAATTTCAAAAATTCAAAAATTGGATCCACTTGGATCCAGTTTTTGTATGGATCCAAGCACATTTCAAGCCGTCTTACTCTCAGCAAGGTGATGTTACCAGTGAAACTGACTGATTTGGCTACTGGGGGCAGGGTTACAACTGGTGGCGAAGTAAAAGTCACCCCTGCATACGACATGAGTGGGTTGCTATGCACCCACATACTGAGGCAATAGCAAAGTCACACCTTAGTGGATCCAAAATAGAAATCTGATGTCAACTTAGTATTCCCTGGCCGTTTTTGACGTCATCACTTTCAAGCCCTAGCCCTATGGACACCCCACTGTGATGCAGTGTGAGGTTATTTTAAAAAGTGAAGTTCAAACCCGTTACAGTCCATTTCAAAACTATAGACGAACAGGGTTTTTGAAATATTTCAAATTTGGCTGGAACTTTTTGAGAATAGTTTTCGGAATATTGCTCAGGTCCGCTCCACAATTACTCTCATATAGTTTCTAAACGATTGGATAACAGACGCCCAATTTGGAAAACATTATGCACAAAGTGATCACAGATTTTATGTGATATAGATGCTGGCATAACGGTTTTTGCCTAGGTACGCGTCTATAGTTTTGAAATGGACTGTAGTTAGTAATCACTAGTGTAGATTGGTTAGCTTTTGGTCGATCTTATCTGGAACCGGTCTGGTTGTGTACTGCTGTGTCTCCCACGGCTGCAGGTTCAGGAGTGGGGTCCGTTCATCTTTGTTCGGCCCGTGCCAAGTTGTGGCGAGGACCAACACCGAGACGAGACAACGTCTTCGCCGAGCACGTTTCTGCAGCCACTGGACAGCGCTACACGCGGAGTCATCTCTCAGCCGAAAGCACAGCGCTTTGTGCACCGCCGGCTGTACACGGTCGACTGCAACTGGAAAGTGTTTGTGGACAATTACCTGGACGGTGGCTTTCACGTTCCACACCTGCACCTGGAGCTGAGCAAGGGACTGGCTCTCAAGTCCTACCACACGGAGATATTTCCACGCTGCTCCTTGCAGACCGTTGGTGGCAAGACGGCTGCTGCTGCTGTCGATGCGGGTCAAGACCGGCCGCACGAACGTACCGATAGTGAAGCGGTGGATGAACGACTTGGCACCGAGGCGTTCTTCTGCTACGTGTATCCGAATCTGATGATCAACCGCTACGGTCCATGGGTGGATATCAACATCGCACGGCCACTGGGCGTGGACCGCTGCCAGATTCTCTTTGAGTATTATCTGGACGAGGATGTTGCTGCTACCAAGGAAGAGTCCGGTGGCCTCGACGAGTTTGTTACCAACTGTCTGCTGCAGAGTGACCAGGTGCAGCAGGAGGACATTCAGATCTCGGAGAGCGTGCAGCGTGGCCTGCAATCCAGAAGTTACGACACTGGACGGTACGCTCCGCGCGTGGAGCACGCCATGCATGATTTCCACCGCACGCTGGCCGCAGAGGTGGCCGCCTCGCTGGTCTGACTAGCCTAGAGCTGCACTGACGGTTGGGCGGTAGACTCGGTCGGTCGGTCGACAAGCAGGCAGGACATACTTGGCACACAGCCAATGTGACCTGGTGGCTCAACATCGTTGTCACACATGCCACCACTGTCACCTTGGTAACTCAGACTTATTTTATTGATCATGGTTGTTTGGAACCATGTTATCCCATTGTCCAGGAGTGAGATCACGTTCAACCTTTTCATGTGGTATGCTGCCAGTACGCCACACATCCTGAAACAGGCTCACTAGTCTGAGATTGAGATGCTCACTGCTGGCCTTCAACAGTTCTGGCAGTATACCACCAGAAGTCCCATTCACCTTCTCGTTACGCAAATATGTTAGTGTCCCATTTGTCAACAACACGCCCTAGATACTTTGAGAGCATACTGGTATCAGGTTTGCAACATTATACAAGAGTGGACGACACGACACTACAGCGAAGCTTCAACACATGAAGCACTCTGGTACGAACATACTTCTCTCTTTACGTAGGGTACTAGTACTATTTTTAGGGCTCTGCTTATCCTTTTCCAGTCATTTGACCTCGGATTTGCACACTTCTTCACTACATTGTATACGGTTTAGAATATTTTACAATAGTGGACACTATCAGTTTTCTATCCAGTTTCGAATTTTTTGCAATAGACCCTGCCTTCACCATTATGATGCCGCGGCAATCTGCAGGCCCAGACCCTTTGTGAACCGTGCACTCGCTGCCTCTCCTACCAACCACTATTGTGTGGGTTTTAGCAAGAGTGTACACCCCCGCGGTTTCTCACCCAGCTAGTGCCTCAGCCGTATCCTCTCTGCCATTGATGCCGCTTCCAATTCACAATCACTGGTTAGGTTCTCATGTGCAGCAGCAACTCAGTTGATCTATGAGATGCTATTTTCTATTTTCTTCCCGGCATACCATCCCCAAATCAATAGTGACAGGTTTCACTGGTACCACTACTAATTCCCAGGCCACCCTATTTGTCGCAGAATTTATAAGGCTTGATCACTACCTAATTCTCTAACCCAACGACACTGTGTGTGTGTGTGTGTGTGTGTGTGTGTGTGTGTGTGCATGTGTGTGTGCGTGCGTGCGTGTGCGTGCATGTGTGTGTGTGCACCTGTGTGTGCGTGTGCGTGCCGGTGTGCGTTGGTGCATGGTCTGAATGCATGTTACAATAGCATGGGATAGAAGTCGGATTCTCCAATAACAGCACTACAACAGTACACGTGTAGTGGGCCGAATGGTTGCAATAGACAGTTGAGTATGATGGAAATAGGCCAAAGGTTACATGCACAGACATACACAGCAAAACATCAGGAATGATTGCATGCTACAAGGAACTTTCAAAGTCCTCTGATAAAATAAAGCGGTTGAATATGTAGCTGACCAGCAGACCTGCAAACGATACAATAGGTAAAGGAGTAAAGAAATAAAATATGGAATGGCAAAGGGAACGAAAGGCCAGCTACACAAAACATGATACCCGCGAGGAGTACAAAAACTGAACAAAAATGCCTGGATGTGTGTGCGTGTGTGTGTGTGTGTGAGTTGCTATGTCTAACGTAGCTGTTCGCTATCATCGTTGCTGAAATGGGCATGTCTGAGTCCGAGTGTGTGTGGTGGTGTTCGTATGACATGAGATGCATGCAAGATGTATTGTATGACTGTGGGCACGGGGATGAAATGGCACACAAATAAATATGATGGGCTACACAGGGTCACTTTTTGACGTTAGCTTTTTTTATAAGCGGCGGGCAAAGACTGTTCGGAACTTCCCATGTTCCAAAACGGGTAGAAGGTCGCATAATGCGAACGTATGTGGCAATTTGAGCAAATGTGTAGTTATAGACGACAACAGCAGAAACAAAACGGTTTCTTTGTGATCAGAACTCATCCTCCCATTCGTCTTCTGGTTCGGTGGCCATTGTGCGTGCGTAGTCGTCCAAGTCGATGGCCTTGCAGTGGTGGATGGCATACCGCAGCTTCTCAGCAAGGATTGCCCCGCTGGTGTAGCAAGGCAGCTTGAGTAAGAAGAAGCATGTGTAGGATTCGGGGAGAAAGTTATCGGGAGTTCGCCGTACCTTCTGGTTATCCATCACCTGATACATGTAGATAGGACACAGGAGGAAAAGAACAGAACATGGTTCCGGAGCTAAAACATTACCGACGGGTCACGTTCGGCTTGGTGTTTGATGGAGCAGCAAAGATAGCAGCAAAGATAGCAGCAAAGATAGCAGCAAAGATAGCAGCAAAGATAGCAGCAAAGATAGCAGCAAAGATAGCAGCAAAGATAGCTCCCAAACCTGCACTGGAGTACTAAGATTGGGCACATACTGTAAAAGCAGACATGTTCGGTGGTGTAATATTTTCAGTATTCTCCAAAATCGGCGGTTCGGTGGAGGGAAATTTCAGTAAAACCCGTTTTCCAGGTATGTGTACTAGTATCACATGCATAGTTGTACCGTAGTACTGAAATGTTCGGTGCGTTTTATTTTCGGTAAAAATTGTCGGCACCGAAGTAACCGAAAACAAAACTCCGAAAATTTCTGCTTTACAGCAGTCCTCCAAATGCGTGTATTTACTGCCATTTCAGCAGGTGTGTTGTAACCACCACTCCTCTACAACACAGTCATGCATGTGGTGCTGCATTGGAGTTTTCACATCATGCTAATCATACAAATCCATAGAGAAAGACGGAAACCTTTGGTAGCATAGAGATCGGCAATAAGTACTTGTCTCCTCACTGTCGCGAATATCCCGAATTTGCGTTACACTCGTTATTATTATTATTATTATTATTATTATTATTATTATTATTATTATTATTATTATTATTATTATTATTATTATTATTATTATTTTTTTTTTTTTTACTATGTCTCGTCTCCTTGTTAGCCATCAATACGTCCAATACTAAAATTGGGCTACTCAGTAATATACATGACGTATCTTTCTATCAAATGAACCCCTCGATAGGCACTTTGCATTTGGGTCGTTTCATAATAATAATAATAATAATAATAATAATAATAATAATAATATTATTATTATTATTATTATTATTATTATTATTATTATTATTATTATTATTATTATTATTATCATTATTTGTTCATGTGTACGCCATGCCGACGTCGTTGCAAGCATCGCGTGCACAGTTTTGCAGATCTCAGGCCAGAGCATGCACAATGAGCCAGTGGCTCCTTTTTGCTACCTTTTTTTTTCCGATTGCTCTCACTTGTCTCAAATTAGGTTTTGGTGACATTGATTTCAAGTCACCTTTCAAGTAAACACGCACTGTAGAATGTCGTTACGAGAACCGGTACACTTCCAAATTTGAGTGAGCAATACTTATTTGGGCGTGGCCACACCACAAGCTCTACCACTCCACAGTACAAAGTTGCGCGCACTCACCTGGAAAACAAAATCACGGCCGCGGAAGTCGGCGAGCGTGCGCGGCAGGCGCGTGCGTCCCCAGACAAAGCGCAGGAACAGCGAGCGTTCCTGCTGGCTGAACTCCTCCATGGCGGCCCAGAACCAGCGCACAAGGTCGCTGTCCTCGGTGGTGCCCTTATAGGATACGACCGACCTGAGGAGATCGAGTTCAATAGCTGGGCAGCCACACGTCATCATTTCCAGCTCGGGCCCAGTGAAGAGAAAGAGCATGGGCACCGGAATCACCTGCATGCAGCAAGAACATGAGCGGAACAATTTTAGAGCACTTCCTGCATTCTCCGCAGCTACATCAAGGCAACTGTGTTAGATTCAAGACTCTCAGAACATGTTTATTGACTCACTGGCTACGGACTGCGGAAACCCTGCTGGAACATTGCATCAAGACTATCTGTTGGAACATGTGCATCAAGAATATCTGTTGCAAACGTGTGCATCGTCCTCTGGCACTTTGGTGTTCCCGGTAACAGCATGGCAGTTAATTTCTGCTGACGCCCTCCATTGACCTTGGATATAGAGTATCTCAGGTGCCAGTATACCGTACTGAAGTACAGTATACGGGACCATGGAAAGTACTGAAGTACAGTATACGGGACCCTGGACAACTGAAGTGTAGTATACGGGACCCTGGACAACTGAAGTACAGTATACAGGACCATGGAAAGTACTGAAGTACAGTATACGGGACCCTGGACAACTGAAGTACAGTATACGGGACCCTGGACAACTGAAGTACAGTATACGGGACCCTGGACAACTGAAGTACAGTATACGGGACCCTGGACAACTGAAGTACAGTATACAGGACCATGGAAAGTACTGAAGTAGTACAGTCTGTATCGGCTATAGCGTACCCTTTTGATTTCCGTGATTTTATCACTATAACCGATGCATCACTATATGCGATACGATCGATTTTTTTCTTTTTTCGATCGACACATGAAAGGCAAGGAAATACTTCCAGCTAGCATGGCGTTTTGACAAAATGAGCATGCTGCATAGTTGACGGTGCCCGCATTTCCATAAAAAAATTATGTTATGTGCATGTACATGTATCACTATAAAAATAAGCAACATGAAGAAAGTAAAAAAATAGGGCCTTTGATAACTTATTATTGCTACATGTATTTTAAAGTTATCACTATAGCCGATAATAATATAGTGTGTTATGCATGTTTTGATTCTTTGTTGCCATCATAATATCCGATATATCATTACATCCGACAATATTGGTTATAGTGATATTTGTACTGGACAAAATACGTTTTGCTTTTGATATTTCGTACCAATATCACTGTAGCCGATATATTCTTATATCCGGTCACTCTATAGCCGATACAGACTGTATACAGGACCATGGAAAGTACTGAAGTACAGTATACGGGACCATGGAAAGTACTGAAGTACAGTATACGGGACCCTGGACAACTAGTAGGCCATATTGACAGCATGGAAAACCCTACCCCATTGCAAACGCCAGTGGTCTCTTTGCTGCAAACCTGTACAGTTTCATTCATTCCTTTATGAAGTGGCCGCCAGTGGAGCTTGCACACCATAACGTGTTTCACAGTACTTGATTACTTGTTCAGTACTAGCAGCAAGCTATGGTTATACTAGTAGCTGAAGATAGCAGTTGACAGGAACATGGTGTCAATGCACATGCAAACACACACGCACAAGCACACATACACACACACACACACACACACACACACACACACACACACACACACACACACACACACACACACGCACACACACACACACACACAGTGCATGTCGTTCGTACCTGGGACATTCCAGTGCGCACTGCCTCCACGGCGGCATCAAACTCGTGCAGCCGGTAGAGCAGCGCTCGCTGAATGTACTCCTCGACGTTGTCCGAGTTCACGGACGCATGCGCCGATGACAGGCGCACCTCCGTACCACTGGTGTGAGAGGCAAGCACAGGAAGACGTACATGTAGATGCGCGGACATCAGAGACACAACGCACAATGAGGGGGTACACAGTAAGAGCTTGAACCAGGGAGTAGTAAAATACGTACTTCAAGTACTACTCTCTGGCTTGAACATAGAAGAACAATACAGTCATGTACATGAACAGAACACACAATGTGTTACCAGTACCAGTACATGTACTAGTACTAGTACTACACAGGTGCTGCATCCATTGTGATAGAAATCACACTGGACAGCAGGCATACTCCTAGCAAGAGTACAATCATGTAGGTGTGCACTGTAGCCAGTATGCACATGCACACACGCACACGCACACACACACACGCAAACAACACACACACGCAAACAACACACACACGCAAAAAAACATACGCACGCACGCGCACCTCAGACCTCAGACCTGCCCATCGCGGAAGCAATGATAGTGAACAGCTATGTTAGACATAGCAATTTGTGCTGGGATTACACCATTCAACAGCTTGCAAGGCTGATGAATTGACCGCCACTGCTTTTTAGCCTGGTATCTACCACACAGCTGGTTGAAGTGGCTTTTTCTGGCCAGTGAATCTCTATTTTTCATTTTTCATTTTTTCCATTTTTTCATTCTTTTTCTTTTTCGACACACACACCACACCACATACTCCGGCATACACTGGCTGTTGGTAACCACCCAGGAGAATGAAAGAAGAGCTAGGAGAATGAGAAAGAGAAGAAAGACGTGTGCGACCATAATCGTCGGGAATTGAACCTGCGACCTCTCGATTGGAAATCGACTGCACATACCACTGCACCATATGGGGCACACGCGCACGCACACATATACACACACACGCACACACACTAGAGAGGTTCTGCAAAACGAAAATGTGTACGAACTGTCGCTCTACGTCACATAGTGAGAAACTTCGCACGAACTTTCGCAACTTTGGACGCGAAACTTGCAGGGAACGCGAAATGAACTTTCGTAGGAAGTTTCGTGAGATTGGGTCATGTCGTACGTGCACTTGGCGCGTGCAAACTACGAAAACGTGCAGAACACAAAGTTCGTGCGAAAATTCGTACACATTTTCGCAAGGCCTGTTGCGAAACTTCGTTCGAATTTTCGTTGTGCAGAACCTCTCTACTGTCACACATACATACACACACGCCCCCCCCCCCCCCACACACACACATACACAATGGCAACAGTTCACTGGCGCCGCTAACCTTGCACTTGGCGTGCTGTAGGGCATCTCCAACTTGTCAAGACCTGCAGCACCCAGCCATCGCAGGTGAAGCAGCGATGGCACATAGTCACGGTCAATCTCCTCCAAGTCGCTGACCGTCAGAGCCATGCCAACAAGCTGCTTCCAGACCGGAGGCGCTAGAGATAAATTCATGGGCGCTCCAGTGCGTATAGCAATGCCGATGAGAATGCCCAGGAAGCGGAAGTTCTCGCGGTGCGCCTGGCCGCCCGCAGGCTGGCTCAGCAGGCTCGGGTTCAGAATGAAGCAGTCGCGGTTGACGCCGTTGTTGCTCAGGCCGTTGGGCGTGAGAATCAGCAGTGGCAGAACACCCGGTGTCTGCAGCTCCTCACACATCTCGCTGATGCTCTCGCTGTACGCACCGCCACAGTCGTCCGCGCCTTCGCCGCTGAACTTCACCTTCCAGACGCGGTGCGCCAGGCGCAGATCGCCGTTCGACTCGCCCAGCATTTTCTCGCCGACCTGGCAGAACATGGTGCCCGTGTAGTTAGCAGCAGCGGCAGCAGCAGCAGCTGCCTTATTGCCTGTGCGCACCCGGGCATTTTTCACCTGAACAGCAAGAAAGAAGAGGAGGAAAGGAGGCAAACGGAATACAGCCGTCTCTATAAACCAGCACCCTCTATAAACCAGCATACTAGTAATTTTCAGCAACCAAAATGCCCTTTTCATACACATTGCAGCAGTATATCAAGTGGAATCCAGCACCCTCCCTAATCCAGCACAATGCCCGTAGCACAAATGGTGCCGGATTATAAAGGGACCGCTGTATAAGCCGATTGCGCTCAAGTAGAACACAGCTGAACGTCAACACAGTAGAACCCCCCCCCCCCCCCCCCATCCGGGCACGGCCAGGCACTGCTACAATTGTACTAGGAATTGCTCCTAGCTCAGAACATACATACCGATAAAATGCAAGTAAAAACTTCTTAATATGCCAATCGATTTTTGGTGCCGTTTTTAATCGAAATGGCATTCTTTGTGACTCGAGAGGGCCAGCAAGGTGCCTAGTAGATGGGAGTGCCCTCATCTGGGGAGTCCGGATTAAGAACGTATTATTGTTGCAGGCAAGCATTGGGAACGTTCAGTGCGTGCTTGTACGCATGTGTGGACCACAGCTGGATTGTGTGTGAGTGTGTGCGAGCGCCCGTGCATGCGTGTGTGCGTGTGCGCAAGAGATCTGGGAAAATATCCCGTACCTGAAACCTGTTAATATCGATTGCACGACCATGCGAGCGATTGCGTTCCATGGTTGCCTGGACAACCTTCTTGAAGATGGACTCCTTCTTGGTCGAGACCAGGAGGCGCCGGAGGGTGTCAATTGCCAACAGCAGCTCCATCTGGCTGGGAGTGGAATTGTTGGTGGAGCGATCCAGCAACTCATCAAGAGATGGCGTTGCGCCGCTGCCAGCACTGCCACTGTGGGCCGCCGTCGCCGATCTGTTGCCGTTAGCAACCACAGAAACATTGTCAGTCTCAGAATGGTAGAGGCTTAGCAGTGGCAGAGACGAGCAGAAGATGTCCGTGAAGTGCTGCAGCAGGATGAGGCGATTGCGCAGAACGACCGGCTCAATGTCGCTGAGCAGTTGATACTCGACCGGTATGGTACTGGGCAGCGGGCACTTGGAGACAGGGGGCCGCATCGTGCTCCACACTAGCGTGTGCGCAGATCCACAGGCCACATGATCAATGCGCTCGCCTTTAATGGTGACCACCTGTGATGAACAATACACATGAAGATAGCACAAACAACCATGCAGCATGTGAAGAGAGAGAAAGCACTCACATCGCACACACACGCACACACTGGGAACCTGTGTTGACAACATACTTGTGTGCAGGTACGGAAGACCGTAGAATTTCTCTACAGAAACTCATAGAATTAAATCGGAATGTTGTTCGCTGCTGCTGCTGCTGCTGCTGCTGCTGCTGCTGCTGCTGTTGTTGTTGCTGCTGCTGCTGCTGCTGCTGCTGCTGTTGCTGTTGTTGCTGTTGTTTTTTTATGTTTTTTTAAATTCTTTATTCTCACAATGGCACCATCGCCAATAAGAGTTGTTGTTGTTGTTGTTGTTGTTGTTGTTTTTTTAAATTTATTTATTCTCACGATGGCACCATCGCCAATAAGAGTTGTTGTTGTTGTTGTTGTTGTTGTTGCCATTTCCATTGCGTAGATTGCCCAATTGAAAAACCCTTCAAATTTAACAATCATGTAGAGGCTTACACAGTTAGCATGGTTGCACAATGCACCATACAAGTATCACCGGTCAAAGATAGGGCAGTGGCAGTGCAGTAAATGTTACCAGCATACCCACTGAACACATTTCTATAGCAGGTCGACAAGAGGCAAAGTACCGAGCCCCACCTTGCGCGCGACCCCCTTTCCCCGGAATACACATTCTGACAGGTGCCGCCACAGCTCAACAGTGGGCACATCCCGAATGTGATCATGAACGTGTTTGAGAAAGAGCACCAGTGTTTGAGTGACAGCACCAACGTTGTTGACCAAGAAGTAAGTACAGAAGGGGCCAAAGAAATCCGCCCCGCAAGTCAAAAGTAGCGCCGCGTTTCCACTTCAATTACATCATGCACGTTCCCAAAACTGATCCGAGGGCTGCAGCCAGTGCAGGGGCCGCATGAGCCTTGGCGCTGCTTTGGCGAGTGGGTTGGATTTCTTTGACCACGACTGTACACTGTCATGTAGACATCATGTTGTTGGTTTGACAGCATGTAACAAGGTGGAGGACACCGTGTTCGGAAACTGTGACCTTACTACCACCACCCACGGTGTCCTCCACCTTGTTTCATGCTGTCAAACCTACAACATGTGTGTGAACTATAACAACTGGTTTATCTAATACTAGTACTGTACTAGTACTAGTATTGGATTATCTAATATGTACGCATCACCTACCAGCTTAGGTTTGGATGCCGCGTTCAGAGAGCCATCACCAAGCTGCCCTTCATCATTGTCACCCCAGGCGTACACCTCGCCAGTAGCAGACAGAGCTACACAGTGCAGCGAGCCGACGGCTACTTCGGTGATTTTCGTCAATTGCAGGCCGGCAATGAGCTGTGGGCGACGAACATGGCTGTCGGAGCCGTGGCCGAGGCGATAGAAATCACCCTTTCCCCTGCAACGTATACACGTACACATACACATACACATGCAGGCACATGCATGTACGCACACAGGCACATGTGCACATGCACACATACACGCGTGCGCGCACACGCACACACACACAGACACACACACACACACACACACATGCGCGCACACAGACACATACACACACATTACGATAGTGGTTAGAAATATTCAAAGTTGACTACAAATCTTGGACGTCTTTAACCCTTTAACCGTCATATAAATTTCACCCATTGAAACGCCGAACGAAATTTCAACTTTGCCAGGTCATAACTTTAGTTGTACTCACTCGATTTTTATAATCTTGGGCTCGTTGGAAAGCTCTGGACGAGACCAGCACGATGATACCACATTCTTTGTCTCAGCAGTCACACAACCAGCGCTGGAACGCAGCGACGTCGTCTCAACGCCAGGCATGCAAATGACAAGTTCAAAACTCCGCCATGGCCGTCTCCTTCATCGTAGAGTGTTCAAATTTTTTTTGAGAGATCGAGCATTTCGTGAGGAATACGTTGGTCGCGAGCAACAGTCACAGAGCGCGTGAAGAAACGGGGAAATCCCGTGACGACGTCAGCCGCGCGCCCAGCGCAGCGGAAGTGACAAGCGTGCAGTACTTAGCGCTTGATAACGCTGCTAGCTGCTCCACTACATCGTAGCTCAACGCGGATTTCTGCAACAGAAAGCCTGGAAAATTCGCGACCGAATCGATAGTAAATTTTCTATCGTGGGTAAAAAATCATTCCAGTGCGAGTATTTCAAATGATGGGTCGAATTCGACCCACAAATGTATGGTCTGACGGTTTAAGGGTTAATCGGTCTGTGCAGCGGAGGGGATATGAGGATCAGTCCCGGCACCTTCATGGCACCCCGTCATCACAACAGCAGTTGCTTCTGGAGACGGCCGGTGAAAAAGGAGTCTCCAGCTGGCTCACGACACCTCCCTCGTTCATAGAGAAACAATTCTGAACAAAGCTTATTTCCGTGATGCCCTGTGCCTGCGTTACGGTCTGTCATTGGATGGTCTCCCCTGTACCTGTGTGTGTGAGGCTGCCCTCACCACGGATCATGCTCTAGCATGCCCATGCGGTGGATACCCCATCGCTCTCCACAATGAGATTAGAGATCTGGCAGAGATAATGCGGGAGGTGGTGAGGGATGTAGAGACCGAGCCGACTCTCCTTCCGTATTAGGGAGAGGATTTGCGAGGCCGGTCTGCCAACCGGTCGGCAGAAGCCCGCCTGGATATTCGGGCTCGGGGCTTCTGGTCGCGGCAGCAGGATGCTTTTTTTGATGCACAGGTCACTCACCCAAGAGTCTCCCTGCTGTCTCGTTTGGAAGTCCTGAGTCAGCTCCAGGCACATGAAAAGGCCAAAAAAAGAACCTATTGCGACCGAGTGAACAGGGTAGAACGTGGAGCTTTCACTCCTCTCGTCTTCAGTACCTCCGGTATGTGCGGCAAAGAGACCACATTGTTCCTGAAGGCACTGGCTTCCCAACTACAGTGTAGTGGACAAACATAGCAAGCTGGCTTACTCAGTAGTAATGGGCGAGCTTCGAAGCCTCCTGTCATTTACCCTGCTCCGTTGGGCCATGACATGCTTCCGCGGGTGCAGGGGGTCGTGTGGCCGTAGGCGAGACCCGTGGCGGCTTCTTGCACCGCTGCCTGTCCAGGTCAGTGGCCTAGACTATATCAACTGTGTTAATTGTCTGATTGTTTCTTTGTATGCGTCGCTTGCTTACTTATAGTTTGTCTCCCGCAACCATGTTTCAGCATTGTTAGTGCTTACGTTTGGTGATTTTTGTTGCACCGTCAATTGTCTGTGCTTGCCATCTTTTTAGATTTGTGTTGGGTTTCAGTTCCCGTTATGGCAACACAGGAATGAGTCTTTCTTCAGATTCTTGTCAGTAAGCTGGTGTTTCGATCATTTTTTTGTATTGAGATTAGTGCTGAAACGATTATATCGATTACTCGTTACTTACTCGATAAGAAATAGATCGAACGGTTATTTCGATTTTATCGGCTAAATGAGTAGAATCAAGAGTAGATAAACAAGAGTGTGCAACTCGCGGATGGGTTGGCCCACGGCGGAATTTTTTGTTGACGTAATCTTTTCGACGACGCACGCGCTATGAGTCTTTTGGTAAGTTTTCCCTCGTGCACTTGGCCGCATTTGCACTACAAAGTCGGTGCCCAGCACGTGCTCTCACACTGCTCTGCGGCAAAATGCGCGTTCTTCTGAAAAAAGGTGACGTCAACAAAAAATTCCGCCGTGGGCGGGGGTATCTGCAGATTGTGCAGGAGAGATCCGGAGTTGCACACTCTTGTTTATCTACTCTTGGTAGAATGTTACTTACTCTCGGTACGGGACTTCCCCCCCTTTTGGGGGTCGCACAAAGCGTGCATGTATCGAAAGTGTTGCAAGTACGGCACGAATATGTACATGACTGCACACTTGCAACATCGATGTACGTGTAAAAGTACAAGCACGATCTGAGAAACATCGACGTGATCACCGTCTTTTGAACTGACTACAGCTGTACTAGTACTTTTCTTACATACAGCATGCAGGACGGGCTGGCTCAGCACGTGTCATCACTAGCTAGCTGCAGGGGCTGGAGTTCCCTCCACGTGCGAGTAAGTAGTCTTGCGCTAAAGACAGTAAAGTGGTACATGGTCTTCAGTTTCGTGTTTTCCGTACTGTCGACGATTCCCGAACCAGTTTGCTCGACGACGAGCTAGGCCTGGCGTCTGGGCCTCTTTTGAGCATAGACAGGAAAAGCAACTAGTTACTTGCTGGCGCGCCTCAAGTCAGCTCATCCATCGAAATCTGCCAATCTGCACCCCTGGCCGGCTTCTCTGACTTCATCGTCAAAGTCAGCGAATTCACAGGCGAAGGGCACCATCAGCTCCTAGGTTGCAACCAGTGCGTTGCCTCTGTCTTGTCTGTGTTCGTCTGGTCAGTCCGAGCAGCTGACGGACTTGTTGTGGGATCATCGGATCTATGCGCCCGCTATCCGTCATTGGCAATGTTGGACTCGTAAAGTTTTTGAAATTCACAGAACGTACACGTACTGATGTAGTTGCAATAATAATCGTTAACTGAGCCGATAAGCCGATTGTTTCAGCTAAGCCACTAAGGAAAAAACGTAATCGTTTCACTGGCACTAATTGAAATATTGTGTCATATGTAAGCACATTTGCTTTGCCCGTACAAGAGCCTTTCCCACAAGTCTTTCAGTTTGAGGTCACGCTCATGGCCACAACTTCTTTCCACAGACTACTTCAAGACGAAATCCTGATCAGAGCTTTACTGAAGACTCATTCAGCTATATTTTACAGTACAGTGCAACTCACTTTAAGTGTACATGTAAGACAAACTTTCGCTGTAGAAAAACTAGTATTCATAACTCCATAGAAAAGAAAAAGGACCAAGGAACTACAAGTTACGCTATTATGTCCACTAACACCACCAGTTACTAAACAATCAGCTCATGCGATAACATTATTCTTTTCTATAAATTTATCCTTGGCTCTCCATCCGAGTCCGATCATAACTCTATCGGGTAAATCACTGTGTATTCACTGGGTATAACATACGGATAAGAAGAAGTCCCGTTATTGCGAACAAATACCGTCAGTCCCTTGGTGTTCGTCCTAATGAGGTTTGACTATACTCTGATAAGACATGCAGTCTTACTTACACTGTAATACGGACGGTATCCGCAGCACAGTTGTGTTGATCCATAGTAGATTCCATACTGAAGTATTTTCGGATAAGAACGAGCACCTCGGACACTAACTACACTTTATTGCCGCCCAATGGGGTAGGTGTTGCAGTTTCACTGCACACATTTCATGGCACGTGAAGGTACGATATACTGACGTTTAATTAACCTTCACCGCCCAATGTTTGCGTCACTATTTTTTTTACGCTCTCTCCGAACCAGCGAGTTTACGATGGCAAATGTTTGCGGAGCATCGTGGCCTCGCATATACACCCACTGTTGAAGTTTGATTTCACGATGATTAATATTTGCGTTATGCTCTTCTCGCAAACATTAGGCTGTTTACAGTATAAAGGGATTTTTTCGAAAAATTTCCAATGATCATGGCTATGCTTCCGCTTGGGAAAAGTTGTGTGCCTAAATTGTATTGTAATGTGTTACGGCAGTATCAATAGGTTCTCTTCAGAAGTTTTCAAGAATGCCAGTATTATCGCTGGACTTATAGAGCCGTTTTAGAGAGGATGTGTCAGCTTTTTGTCGGATCCTATATATATAGGATTTGAGTGTTCTACGTACGGGTAAGTAAGCGGTCACGTGCTCATGCATACACCAGTCACCTGGTCACCGTGCCTGCAGGCTACAACTTTGACAGCGTTCCTGTCATTCGAGTTGAACCTTTGAGTTGAACCTTGGTGTGAAAGTTGTAGGCTGCACCCCTTTAAACACTGACCGTGCGCTGTATCATGCACACCTACGGCAGCATGGATTACAGATCTGTTAGTGCACGGCCACTAGTGCATAGCCGCTAGTGCATGGCCACTAGTGCATAGCCGCTAGTGCATGGCCGCTAGTACATAGCCGCTAGTGCATGTCCGCTAGTGCATAGCCACTATGCTGGTTGCACACTGACTTACCAGGTGTAAACTTCACCAGCCGCCGACAGGGCAATTGTGAACTGAGAGCCGCACTGGACGTCCACAATGTCTTTTTCATTCAGGTCTTCGACCAGGCCCGGGACCAAGCCACTTCCATTGCTGGCGGGCCGACCAAGCTTGCCATAGTCGGCATCGCCCCACGACCAGACCTGTTTCTTGCCTTCGGGCGACACAGCCACACAGACGGACTGTGCGTCTCCGCTGCCCAGCGCAATGCACACGCAGCGGTGGCCACTCAGCGCCTCCACCTTCTTCGGCACTAGCATGTCGTCGGACGTGCCGTGGCCCAGTCGCCCGTAGCGGCCCTTGCCCCACGTCATGACGTCGCCGCTGCCTGCCAGGATGCACGCGCTGTGAGACCCGCCGGCAGCGACGAAGTTGACTTCATTACCGCGCAGACTCTCGATGACCCTGGGGCGATCACAAGACCTGTTGTTCACAAAGCACACAGTACACAGTACATAGTGCACAGTACATAGTGCACAGCATCCAGCATACAGCACACATGTACATAGTACACAGCATACAGCATACAGCACACAATGTGTGCTGTGAAAGGAGTGTTTTTGCTAAAGGTTTTGCAGTGCCAATCGAAAATTTGATTGAACAGTATGGTGCTAGTCATCTCTTTTTTTTTCTCTGAAACTCAGATCGCTAAAATATTTTCATCGCGAATTGGTGAGTAAAAAAGTTACCCGCTAAAATTAGCTGGTCTACAGTATCTTAGTGGATGCTGGCCACCACCTCAGCTACCAACCATGTTTCTACACACAGTGAACATGATGTGTGAGAGCACCAGCACCAGCAGCATCTTGTACAAGTACATGTAGCATGGCTGAAGGCATCGGCGAACAGTGCGGCTATGCTTGGGTCAAACACAGACACAGACACAGACACACAGACACACAGACACACAGACACACAGACACACAGACACACACACACACACACACACACACACACAGACACACACACTCACACACACACTCACACACACTCACACACACGCACCTCAGACCTCAGACCTCAGACCTGCCCATCGCGGAAGCGATGATAGCGAACAGATATGTTAGACATATCAACTTGTGCTGGGATTACACCATTCAACAGCTTGCAAGGCTGATGAATTGACCGCCACTAATTAACACACACACACACACACGCAAACATACACACACGCACACACGCACACACGCGCACACACACACACACACCTTACAGCAACATTGGGTTTCGCCTAGCGAGCCTTAACGCAGAAGCAGCAAGCTCTCCGATACTTACGTTCTGTTGCCATGGCCGAGTTTACCACATACGCCTTCACCCCATGAGTAGACCTCTCCATCATTGGACAGTGCTAGTACATGGCAACCAGCTGGGTGCATGCTAACTTGCTTGATCTGCACGTTCTTCAGTGACTCCACATGCCGCGGTACGATGACTGTGTCTGGTACAGAGCCCAGTCCAAGGCGTCCAGCACTGGAATTGCCATTGGCGTACACCTGAACACAACGTAGGACAGCAAGCAACCCACAGCAGCAGCAGCATTCTACTACCGTACTGGCAATATATATGGTCGCAGTGAGGCCATGAAGCGTTACATTGGCACATGTTTACCGCACGCAGGGCGTTACATGCAAAGTCGCACAGGAGCCATTACACAGGTTTCTATATTGCCGCAGTCCTTTTTTTGCCACGCGGTACACGTGCTTTCACAGTTTTCAGCCTTTGCAGTGCAAACTGCAATGAAAAGATCGCCGCACCCCGCCGGACGCGCGTTACGAACGCAACGAAAATTTGTCGCACTAGCCTGGTCGCGCGTTACGCCGCACCCCCCTGCGTTACGCGTTACGCGGCAACATATATTGCCAGTACAGTAATCGTACATGAACATGTCAAAACGTAACTGCACATACAACATTTGCCGGTTTGTTCTTCGACTCTAAATAAACAAACAACACCAACAACAAAGTCTTCATAGGTTCGAGGGAAAGATGCACACGGGAACAGTCTGAAGAAAAAAATTGACCGTCACCACCAGGACTCGAACCAGGGACCTTCGCGTGAGGCCAGCGATGCTGAGCTATGGTGTACATACATGGTGTATATATCCAAGCAGTTATGAATACATGGAGTGTAAAATTGAACTCGGATAAGTTTCGTGCCCTGTTATCGCACGTTCTGACTGCTTATTATCTTGTTACAGTTGTGGATAGCTGCTTCATAACTCGTTTCCTTGTGTTTTCTTCTTCTATTTTACATGGAGTGCAGCAGTTGTTTTCGTGACTATAAAAAATAGAGTGTAGTTGGTGATCAGATGGAGTGCGCCATCTTTTTGCTCGATCAATAATGGTGTTACAACATTGTACACTCCTGAGTGGGATGGAGACTTGCGGGATTGCAAGCTCAGTGGGCATGTCGTCTGCAAAGCGTGTACTGCTCTCACCTCTGGTCAAAATGGCTAACGCACGCGCGGGAAGTTTACAATCTCACCCACTGGCAACACTAACCAGCACAATCTAACCGAATACTGTAAAAGCCATTATTCTAACGAGCCGCAAATATAACGATTTCCTAAAACTGACCGGTTTACGTGTACCAAAGGCAACGGCGCCCACTCATTCTCAACGCTCACTACCAGCAGTATATGTATCGTAACTATCGTTATATATAATAAGGCTTTTACAGTACCTTGCCATCATCAGAAAGCACAAGGAGGCACTGGTCTCCACCGACTATACTGCATGGACGTAGGTCAGCGAAGATCTCACACGCTGTAGGTGCTTTGACCTTGTCTCCGTTCAGATTGGTCAGCTGGCCACGATTGTTGTGGCCCCACGCCCACACCTGGCTCTTGATGCCCCACCAGGACTTGAGATGCCAGTCATCCGGACACCTGCATGCACAGCAGCGTGCACACCACAGGAAACACGCATTCAGACAGCACCGGGGAGAATTCAGCCGCGTCAGAAATGGGTACCGCTGAGCTCCATGGTTCATGGCAGTATACCCACACCATACCCACACCACAGTCACACCACAGTCACACCACAGTCACACCATAGTCACACCATAGTCACACCATAGACATAGTCACACCATACAAATAGTCACGCCATTCTTGTGGTGTGCAACCTCAGCACAAGACTTGCACAAACAACATCTGTATAGGTTCTTGTTCTTCTTGACAACCTTTCTCTGATCAGCTACACACACTTACACCGCAGACGTCGAGGCAGAAGTTCCAACGCCACACAGTGTGTGTGTGTGTGTGTGTGTGTGTGTGTTTAAATCGGTTGCGGGTCTCAAGTGTTACCGTTGTGGAACCTGCCCTACTGTGGCTGAACGCCAGCAATTCAAGTTTCACTGCCAAGTTTGCCACAACCGACGGTTCCGGAGGCGGCAAGATCTGGATCGCCACCAGGAGCATTGCCTTCCTCCCCCCTAACCTCTCTGACAGTACCTCCCATCTGGGAGCGGCGTGGCCAATTCTGGCAGCTGTCAATAGTAGTAGTAGTAGAAGTAGTAGTAGTGTGTGTGTGTTTGTATGTGTGTGTGTGTGTGTGTGTGTGTGTGTGTGTATGTATGTATGTGTGTGTGTGTGCGAGTGCGTGCGTGCGTGTGCATGTGTGTGTGTAGCTTACCGTTTGAGCCAGAGCAGCAGCTGTTCATCGCGCTGAAGATCAAACAGGGAGTTGTCCTGATAGTCGAGACTGATCTTCTCATTGACCGGCGTAGACAGGTTGATCTGCTCATGAACCTGGTCACAGAATGCTGTCGGCAGTGCTGTGCGATTCTGTAATGCCATGGCTGTGTGATAGGTCAGGCAGAACTGTGGAAACCAGGTGTCCACTGGGGAATTGGACTCGATCTTGAGCTTCATGCCAACGCTCAGATCGCAGCACAGTGCAACAATGGCCTATAACAGCAGCATACACACATACATGTACACACGAGCGTAAATGCATGCACATACACACACATGTGCACACACACACACACACACACACACACACACACACACACACACACACACAAGAGCACACACACACACACACACACCAGCAGTAGCCACAACAACAAAAAGAAATCAACGATTTTTACACCTACGTGCAAAGTGGGCCAGAGCCAGTCTTACTACAGTTATGCATAGCGTATTTTCCGGAGTATAGTGCGCACTTTAGATGTGCTATTTTAGGCCCTAAATCGCAGGTGCGCACTATGCTCCAAATATGAAATGCATGTACTTCAATGAAGATTGAAGTGCGCACCCCCAATGAAGATTGGGGGTGCGCGTTATACAAAGGTGCGCACTATACTCCGGAAAATACGGTAATGACTTTACACAGTGCACATGTACATAAACACAATATTACTTGTACCAAGAACTTCCCATGCAGCTACCGTATTTTCCGGTTGTACGTCAACCTTTCACGACTACATATAGAAGGAGAATGGGTGGGGGTCGACTTACAACCAGGATTCGACTTATAACCGGGAACTATCAGTATCTTACAAAACATGACTTGCACTGCATGCATGACTGCACCATGTGTACACATTTTGCCTGTTTTATTGGCCTTTTTCAAGGATTGGGACGTTATACCCTGCCATAAGGAATGTTTACATGATTTGTTGATGTGTTAGTACTAGGAGTGGTCAGTAGTGCTTCGCTGGGTGAAAACTTTAAAAAGCAGAATTGTGACCTCCGGATACGGGGGTCGACCTATAACCGGGGTCGACTTACAACCGGTAAAATACGGTATGCATCCAATTCACAATCTGAACTACCCAACCAGCAAGTACACACGCAAGCAAGCAAAAACACATAAAACACATAACACATAACACACACACACACACACACACACACACACACACACACACACACGCACACGCACACGCACACACACACACACACACGCACACCCACCCACACCCACATACACACACAAGCATGCACGCACACACACACACACACGCGCGCGCGCGCACACACACACATGCGTGCCAACCAACCTTGAGGAATGGAGTGTGACTCAGTTGAGATCCGGACTTGACAATTTGCTCCTCATATCTCATCTGCCTCTCCAGCAAGTCAGGGAGCTTCTTCACCAGATATCCCAAAGCACAATGCTACCAGGAATTCCACACAACACACAAAACACCACACAAGATTGTAACAGATGAGAGAGATAGAGATAGATAGATAGATAGATAGATAGATAGAGAGAGAGAGAGAGAGAGAGAGAGAGAGAGAGAGATAGAGAGATAGAGAGATAGATAGATAGATAGATAGATAGATAGATAGATAGATAGATAGATAGATAGATAGAGAGAGAGAGAGAGAGAGATCACGGCAATGATCACTGCATGGTTAAGACAGAAGTACTGGCCCTGGTACATGTGCAAAGCACAAGACAACTGATGACCAAACATACGTCCGGTCTTCTGCCCAGTGTATAGTATAGGACCAGCTGCAAATTGTAAAAAAAGAACAGCAAATTCAAGTGCAGCTCCACTGTTCTCGAAAGACAAAGACACGACTGCACACCCAGTCCCACAAACCATGCGAAAGTGCAGAACATACAGAAAAGAGAAGACCAGGGGAATGCTAATGATATACTGTACTGTGACAGTTCTGGTCACAAGCTAGATGCGATGCTGGAGTATGGGAAGGGAAATAATACAGCACACGCACGCACGCATGCACATAACCAGTATGAAAACAAACAAGCAGCTGCAGCACCAGGGTCAGCTCAATCAATTTTGCTGTTCTCCTTTCCATCCTATGCTCGTCCTGCATCCATATATTGGTTTGTGCTTTCAATAAAACAAGTTTCAGCAGCAACAGCAGGAGGAAGCAGCAGCAACAGCAGCAGCAGCAGCAGCAGCAGCAGCAGCAAAATAGCAGCAGCAGCAGCAAATAGCAGCAGGAAGTCCCAGCACTCACCGAATGTACATGCAGGGCATCCAGCACCCTGGAGGCCTTAGCGGGCGAGTCCTTGTACACACCGCCGTTGACCGTGCGGATGATGCGCCGCATCCACTGCACGGCCCAGACGCGCTGCTGGGACTGAAGCGGGAGGCTGCAGCACGCGGCGAGCGCCGACGCAAGTCGAGGTAGAACGGCGCCGATTGGCGGTAGCAGCTCCACACTCATCCTTCTCAGGGTGTGGACGTGCATGCTCAGCATGCGTGCTACCATGTGCATGCATGGCAGATTCTGTACACAAACAGCAGCAACAGCAGTTACAACAGCAGCAGCAGCAGAAGCAGCCAAACCCGTGAGGTTCTGGAATTTAATGCACATTCATTTTTAAAAGCGTCAATACATGTCCACTCTGGGTGTATAGCGTCTGCTATGATTGTAGAGCAGTTTTACTACAAGTAGAGCATTTCCAAAGAAGCCACGCGCCCTTATTCGGAAAGTCATTCATTCGCACAGGAGTTAGTACAACGGAGTTAGTACAAAGAGTTAGAAGAATGCTACTACCGCTACTTGTAGTGTCCATGATGGCAACAAAAGACGGGTAATGCAACTAGTGTGCATGCACGCACGCACACACGCACACACACACACACACACACACACACGCACACACGCACGCACGCGCGACTCCTACCACAGTCACAGATCACAGATCACGGAAATCTGTGTGTACAGTACATGTACTGCTCAACGAAGTCCCATCGCGTAAGTCATCTAGCGCCGGACGCCATGCAGCACCAGGTCTGTGAACACTGGACTGTGTGCAGGGTGCAGGGTGCAGGGTCCAGAGTGCAGGGTGCAGAGTGCAGGGTGCAGGGTCCAGAGTGCAGGGTCCAGAGTGCAGGGTCCAGGGTGCAGGGTCCAGGGTGCAGGGTGCAGGGTCCAGGGTGCAGGGTGCTACCTTATCCATGAGATTCATGACTTAGTTGAGCAGCACTGACTGTAGTCACAGTGTAACTGTAGCTACTGTCGTGGACATGGAAATCCGGTCGCACGTCTAGCGGCCCCAAGGCGCTGGACATTCAGCCGTGGGTACTGTAAAAGCCATTATTCTAACAAGCGCATATATAACGATTTCCTAAAATTGACTGGTTTACGTGAACAAAAGGTAACGGTTCTCACGCATTCTCAACGCTCAATAGCAACAGTATTGTCTCGATTTCTGTATAACGATTTCTATTTTAACGACAGATCTCTCCTCGTTAACTCGTTAGAGTTAACACTTCGTTATATATATGGCTTTTACAGTAAGCAGTACACACATGCATTTATGCGCTGCAGGCTGTGCAGCACGCTGGTCGCATCGGATCAATATGACTTTGTGCACTACAGTCAACTTCGCTTATAACGACACTCGGCGGGGCATTAGAAAAGTGGCGTTATTCGCGAAGTGTCGTTATACCCGAAGTCTCATTCTATGTATTACAGTTGGATGGGACTTTGCTCTGGGCATGGAAATTCTGTCGTTATTCGCGAATTGTCGTTATATCCGCAGTCGTTATTAGCAAAGTTGACTGTACATTCTACGTTCTGTACGCGCTGAGGGTGCTGGCCCCGGTCATTTGACTGGATTTCCATGTCCTCGACAGCAGGTAACTGTAGTTAGTGTACAATGAGCTGAAGCTATCTATACATAGCATTCACAAACATTCCATACCAGAAATTGCTGGTCGGCGAGCTCATCCTGTGGCGACGTGCCCGGCATGACGGCATGCGCCGTGAAGCGAAAGCCCCAGGCGTTGATCGTGCCGTCGCTGCAGAATTTCCAGGAGAGCTCGCACCCCTGCACGACGAGCGGCGCTGTCCACATGGTGCCCTCGTGGCCGGAGCGAGTGGACACCACACTGCCCAGCGCGTCCGTGATGGTCAGGCGATCGTGGCCGTCTTCAGTGCGGCACTGCGGATCAAACTCAATGCGCAGTGCTTTGGCACCCGGGATGCGAACCTTGGAACAATGATCACACAGCAAGCAGAGAGGCATAATACAAAATATCAGTAATGAGTTTTTACACCAGCTGACTCCTCATCAACAAATGATAATGCGTAGCAGCACCAGTAGCCAAACTTATCACTCCGGAAGTATCACATGAGCATAGTGTTTACAAACCAAGGCCAACAAATACAATCATGTTCTGGAGTGCGTACATTCGACCCCGTAACGCAGCGGAATGTGATGCGCTTCACACTGTAGTGCGCGAAAGGAAATGTTTGCAAGTGGAGTCAACTTCAGAAGGCTTTTTTTCTACAGTTCTACATTTCGCACCGCGCCGGCTTACTTTTGCAATTTCACACCCATCGCGAAAATCGCAAACGATTCCAGATTGCAAAGGTTTCACGGTTTACAGTGGCCGGAAGGCATGATGTGCGTGGTGTGCATGATGTGAGCGTGCATGATGTGCGTGGTGTGCATGATGTGAGTGGTGTGCATGATGTGCGTGGTGTGCATGATGTGCGTGGTGTGCATGATGTGAGTGGTGTGCATGATGTGAGCGTGCATGATGTGAGTGGTGTGCATGATGTGAGTGGTGTGCATGATGTGCGTGATGTGCATGATGTGCGTGGTGTGCATGATGTGCGTGGTGTGCATGATGTGAGTGGTGTGCATGATGTGCGTGGTGTGCATGATGTGAGTGGTGTGCATGATGTGCGTGGTGTGCATGATGTGAGTGGTGTGCATGATGTGAGTGGTGTGCATGATGTGCGTGGTGTGCATGATGTGCGTAGTGTGCATGATGTGCGTAGTGTGCATGATGTGCGTGGTGTGCATGATGTGCGTGGTGTGCATGATGTGAGCGTGCATGATGTGCGTGGTGTGCATGATGTGAGTGGTGTGCATGATGTGCGTGGTGTGCATGATGTGCGTGGTGTGCATGATGTGCGTGGTGTGCATGATGTGCGTGGTGTGCAGGTCAAAGCCTCTCCTGTACTGAATGAGTTAGGTTACCACGGTTACTTGTACAGGCGCACGGCTCATGTTCTCTACGTAGCAGGCCGTACCCATGAACCGGCTACGATATACTCTTCTGCACAGTGTCAACGCAATCACCCCAGCAACACCACACCAGCATCACAGCATTAGTCTTTGCACGGGCAAGACATACATGACTATAATGTTCTCTACACGATAAACTCGACATGATCAGCGATGTGCAGTGCAAGCTACAGTGTAGTCACTAGGACACACGGGCAAGCAAACATCTTTAACAACATACCTTTCCAGTCAGGTTAGCATTGTGAGGATACGGGTGTGGTGATTCCTGCATGGTGGGCGCTGGCTGGTGGTACTGCTCCAGGAAGCGAGGATTGGCCACCGCGCCTTCCAACTCCCCGACGCACACACTCAGGAGACTCTCGCCGACCTAAGGAAGAAAGAAATTGGAGATGGACAAGTTAAGATCAAGGGAAGCCGTATGGCCTCTGATCGCTGCTATCAACAGTTTTACAGTGTCAAAAGAATCTGGTCATACTGTCTCCAACCAGACCGTACACAACTCATGCCCTCCTTCCTATCTTTGCACACTGCACACTGCACACGTGACTGAATAGCTATGTGTGTGCGCAACACGTGTATTCCAACGAGGGGATCAGTCAGCTATTCCCATAGTGTGCTCACTGGACAGAGTATTAGAAATGCACACAACATATCACCATGGGAAAGGAGAAGCATTCTGCTGAAGATCATCTTTGCAACTCGACAACCTCTGCCCGCTCTTTACAGCGTAGTGAGATGACAACGTGTAGTGCCGGGCACGTACTGTTTCATCGCTCTCCACCAGTGCCTCCAGCATTGAGGCTAGCGCTTCCACATCATCCGTGGCACAGCGATGTCCCACGGCCAGCTTGAGAAGGCTGACCAGCTGCGGCAAGCAGTCGGGCACAAGCCGTGCAACAAACGTGTCCATGTCACCAGCCGACAGCAGCTCAGCATGATGAGTGGGAGAGAGAAGATTTCGCTGCAAGCACGAAAGAATCACAATAGATGGTGAAACAGAGGCAGAGATCACCTCACTGGGAACACGATTTTCTTCTTAGGATAAAGAAATGAGATATACTTTTTTAAAGAGAAGGAGAAACAACATGTATGCAACGGCAACAGAAGGCTGACTGGGTACAAGGCAAACAAGCAGTGTGCAGGTATTGTGTGGATGCATCCAGACAGCATGTGTTCACAGTGGACCACAACATAACAACATAACAACATACCTGACCAGCAGCCACCATAGCGGAGCTGAACCGCTCCATCAACTGCTGCGAGTTGTGGGCTGGAGATGATGAGCGGGAGGTGGCTGCCGACACTGGCATGGCTGCGTTCGGCGCGGCCTCCACTTTGGACAATGCTGCTATCATGCAATGGCGGGCAGTCATGATCTGCAGGCCCAGAGCAATGTCCTTCAATGCCTGCATCTGCTGCTCGCCGGCCGGCTGGCTCAGCAGGTTACGTTCAAGGAGGGCACGCAGTCGACGGACCGGCGTCTCGGACTTCTCTGCGGTGTCCTCACCGCTGGTCTCAAGGCCTAGTGGGTTGTTGTTGGTTACAAAGACGACGGGAGAGAAGCGATTGACGGCCTCCTCACTCTTACCCGCCAAGCGAGACATGACCGGCGGAGGTGCCTCGGCAAAGGCAATGCAGTGCGACGAGCCGCACGCTATGCCGATCACCTTCAGGCTCGACGTCTCCTCAACCAGCCGCGGCTCGTCGTACATGTCCACCTGGCGATTGCCTTGCTGCCCATGATCGTTGTCACCCCACGTGTACACCTGAGCATAGTACAGCACACAGCACGATGTTTTCTTCTGGTCTCACACGCCAATGAGATGCCTGGCTAAAAATTTCAAAGTATAAGTGCAATGCGTGCCCGCCTTTCTAGTGTTCTGCCGGGAGACGGGTTCATTGTACCCTCACACCTCAGAAGTACACATAGCTACTTCGAAGTACACATAACCACACAGACAGAACAGACTTGATCATGGTGCACCTGAATACCCAAAATCCAGCTTCAGGTTCATGAAATAAGGCGAGTTGACACTAGTGCATGGGCTCACAGCCCAATCCGACTGCATACTGCAAATGACAGCTCAGTCTCAGTGGATTGCAGCAGGCCAGACGGTGCTCGGGGTTGTTGAGCCAAGGTGCATGAATACGCGACCATGCAGCTAGAACTGCCCACATTTTTCAGCACATGTACGCCACTTGAACATGCTGCTGTGAGCGCTGCACATGTCTTGGGGGGTTGGATGTACAGTTAACTCACACCATGCAACTACATGTACATACCCACTAGCCATCATAAGATTACTTATGCCAGTACCAAGACATGAAGTGCCCCCCCCCCCCTTGTTAACTCACACCATAATACTACATGTACATGTATAGCAAACGTCCATCATAAGATCACTTACCCGGCCATCATCCGTCAGTGCCAAGACATGAAGTGCTCCAACAGCCAGCTGGACTACCTTCTTGCCGACAAGTCCACCTTTGACCTTGACCGGCTTGCGTACATGACTCTGCACTGGCAGACCGAGGCGACCGAAGTCGAACTTGCCCCTGCAGCAACACCAGAGCGTTAGCATCGTGATATGTACACAAGCACATGAATGTGCACACAGGCACACACACACACACACACGCACACATGAATAGACCAGCACATGTATGCATGCAGAGAGACAGAGAGACAGACAGACAGACAGACACACACACACACACACACACACACACACACACACACACACACACACACACACACACACACCATATACCACACACACACACACACACACACACACACACACACACACACACACACACACACACACACACACACACACACACACACACACATACACACACACACACACACACACACCTGGTCCTGGTAAACACTGCCATTACGGTCACGTGTCCCCTTACGGGGCCGACAATATAGAACGACGAGCGGGACCATGTTCGAGAGAGCCATCTCCAGCAGCTATGGCTCTGGCTTATCATCGGAAACGATTCCTCTCACGGCTTCCGCTAGAACTGGTCCATCACTCTCCACAACAGAGCGAACATTCCATGAGCCAACGCTCAGAGTCGTTCCAAGTCGTCGTCTTCGTGCGGTAGTTTGCCCCACTCGCGGGCTTGCAAAGCCTCGCGAAGGACTCCGAGGTGGGGGCGACGAGGAGAGTGTCGGCATCGTAACTATCCGACCAAGTCTCCTGTCGGTGAATACCCCACCTCAGGCACTGTTGGCCTGGACGGCTGGGGACACCCCAGGCCGTCCACACCGGCAAGAACAAGCACGGACGGAGGCCAGAAACAAGAGCCCGGAAAAGTACAACCGTCCTCCACCAGAGCAGAGAACACACACACACACACACACACACACACACACACACACACACACACACACACACACACACACACACACACACACACACACACACACACACACACACACACACACACACACACACACACTTGTACTTGTTGCTCACTGCCAAAACTGGTCACGTGGGTCTCCCCGGGAGAGGGGAGAGAGACTCAAAAGGAATCTTGGAAAGATGACTCAATTGGCTATTGAACCGCCCAACGGCCGAAATCCCCTGAAATCCTCAAAACTCTGAGTGGACTTGAAAATGATCCCACTTATGGGCTCACCACACCACACCTCACACACACACACACACACACACACACACACACACACGCACACACACACACACACACACGTGCACACACACACACACACACACGTGCACACACACGTGCACACACTCGTGCACACACTCGTGCACACACTCGTGCACACACTCGTGCACACACTCGTGCACACACTCGTGCACACACTCGTGCACACACTCGTGCACACACTCGTGCACACACACACACACACACACACACACGGATCTTGGACGCGCTGCCATATTCAGGCTATGCGGACCCCATGGGGGGTTGAGCAGGTTCGGAACAGTAGGGGCGATGACGGGATAGGTCCTGTGGTCTACTGAAACGCCGACCGCAATTGCAAACTATGCAGAAGGAGCTATGGTCTGTGTTGTTTGCTCTGGCCGAGCCACGGCTGCACTTGTGACGTTTCATGCCTTGGCGCGATAGCACACAGCGGTTGCAGCGGGCGCAGTGGAAGCTGCAGCGTTTGCAGGATATATTGTTCGTAACCGGTGACTCAAGTGTGTCAGAAGATGCCTCTGCTGGTGATGTTGCTGGCGAGCACTTGTGTCGGGCAAATCCACCCTTGCTCCGCAACCATCTGTCGCACTGATCGCAGTGACAGCTTCCTGGCTGTTGGCTTACGGGTAGGGCACGCGTAGCTGTACACTTGTGTCGCTTCCTGTCACTTACACGACTGAAGGAGTGGTGACAAGTCTGGCACACAACCGGTGATGGTTGAGGCCTGTTCTGCTTGTCTGGCAGACAACGGTAAGCCTTGCGCCATTTGGAGCGAGAAGAGGTGGCCACTTCATACCAGTCGTCAAGTGGTTTGACGTCACACGCATACACACACACACACACACACACACACACACACACACACACACACACACACACACACACACACACACACAGGGCGAGGCTCTGTCTCTGAGAACATGGCGACTTACAAAAAAACTAGCCCAAGCAATGTACAAGAGGTACTAATAACGTGGTTTCAACTCGGAACAAACTTTTAAAACTACATGTACACAACGCCAGAAGCAGTCAGTGAACCTACTCTCATTCATAACTCTAGAGTCTGAAAGAGAGAGGTATGCCATTGCTACTAACCAAGTCCACACGCCACCCTCACTGGACAGTGCTGCGGAAAACTGAGCTCCGCAGTACACCTTGACAATCTTCTCGTTTTGCAGACCCTCGATGAGCATTGGGCGGCTGCAATGCTCGCTGCCGCCCAAGCCAAGTTTACCAAAGTCGCCGTCACCCCAGGCGTATATTGCTCCCGACTCGGTGCAGCACACGGTCTGGGCATCACGGCTGCCACACGCTACGTCCACCACACGCAACCCGTCCAGCGCCCCAACCTGGCCACACATACACATACATGTACATACACACACATGCACACACGCATGCACACATATGCACATGCACATACGCATGCACACACGCATGCACGCATGTACACACATGCACATACGCATGCATGCATGCACCCATGCACACACGCATGCACACGCGCACACACACACACACGCGCGCACACACACACACGCGCACACACACACACACACGCGCACGCACACACACACACACGCACACACGCACACGCACACACACACACACACACACACACACACACACACACACACACACACACACACACACACACATGGAACAACAACATGATATTCAAAACAGTTTTCACTCTCAATACCAGCTCAACCTAGCCAAGCAGCCATGAAGGGAGATCATGTTCAAATCGTTTGTTCCGTACACTTTTAGTTTTAAAGCATAAGCAACCATTGTAGTGAAGAGCACACATTCAACATTGCATTTTCACCTTAAGCTTTTCATGTTTGTGTGTGTGTGTGGGGGGGGGGGGGGGGGAGGACAAGGTCGCTTGTACGGGCAATAACAACGTAAGGATTGTGCAAGGAACAGAGAACCGAAACAAATACCCAGTAGCCAGATCATCTAGTCGGTGATTGCAAGTCACAACTCAACCACGCCGGACACAATGATGCACAGTTGCCTGCCAACATGCACACCAATATGCATTCTCCTACACACGCTTGGCTAGGACAGACATGATGCACATACACGTGTGCCCACACACGTACCCAGGCGCACGCATACAGAATCAGGGGAAGAATACCGTTACCGCGGCCGGCACTGACCTTGTTTGGCACGGAAATGGTGTCATTCGAACCGTGGCCGAGCCGTCCGTAGTCACCCATGCCCCAGGTATACAGATCCCCGTTGTCCAGGATGCAGGCGCTGTGCGAGCTACCCGCCGAGATGCCCACGACGCGCTTGCTTTTTAGCGCCTCGATCTGCTTGGCACTGCAACGGGTTCTAAAAATAAAAATCATGAGGAGACATACAGTATGTGTGCATGTCAACATGAATGGCAAGGCAATCAAGCAAAAGCAGCTACAGGTGGAGTAAGCCAGGGGCGCGTTTGGTTGGTCCGAACTAGAACAGGATTCACCAGAACAGCGCGTTTGGTTGGGACTGCACCTGTTCTGGGTCGGCCAGAACATGTTCTGCTTGCTCCGGCCTTGAGGCCGGAGCAGACCGAGCAGTTTCACTTTTTCACAGTGAAACCTGGCGGGAACATCGATTTTGGTCCCAAATGATCACGTGCATACACTTTTGGGGTGGACTCGTTGTACCGTACAAAGTGACCATGGTGACCCATACACATTTTGAAGAATGCACCAAGTTTGGCACATTTCTCCACAAAAATGTGCTCTGTTTCTGGAGTACCGTTTGGTTGGCATGAGGCTGCTCCATGTGCACCAGCTGTTCGATCCTGTTCTACAGTTGTGGCAAGTGAAATCCGACACTTGGCATAAGGGACTGCACCAAGCAGTCTGCAGCCCCTGCAGCCCTGCATACGTACAGTACATGTGTTACATACAACTTTATCTGTCTGATGACAAAACTCGTACTCATCACAGTCAAGGTTCAAAAGGTGCTGGCAAATATGAATGGGGATTGGATACCAGTACTCTTTATGTGTACCATATTTGTGAACTGTGTGTATCTACGCTGTGACCTTTCGATCTGTTTGGGATGCATACGGCTCTATAGTACAAATTAGGTGCAGTGCATTACATCATTGGTGTCCATTTGTGGCGCTTTCCCCTATGGCAAGTGTCGGATTTCACTTGCCACAACTGTAGATCGTACCAACCAAACGCACCCCTAGTCTCCAATGAAATCATTTTTTTTAAATTTTTTTTATTCAACATCTTATGGCTTCCGATGGCAGCCAAAAACGGGAAGATGCGGGTGATAGCCAACCATGGTAAAAGAAGGAGAAGATTATATACATGAAAAGGAAACAGCCGAACAGCTTTATTGATTAGTTTTTTTCTTCATTATTGCACAAAAGAATACAGGATGCACGACGTGTTGGTCCACACCCAGTCAGAGTCTTGACATATCAAACAGGACTTGTACTTTAAACACTTTTCGTCGATATCATGTAATTAGGCAATTATGGACTCGGATGGATAGTGCAACTTGTAGTTCCTTGGTACTTTTTCTTTTCTATAAATTAGGCAAATTGTGCCTGTTTGCTCATCGACTTTTAAATGTTGTGGGCTAACAGGCACACCTCAAATTGCACTGCTTTCTACACCCTACTCAAAATTCTTTTATTCATTCGACGTTTCGGTCTATGACCATCACCAGAAAATTATTTACAAAAAAAACTTGATGACTGCAGCTTGTTTATACAGCCAAGTCAGAGCTGGCAAAGCACACATCACCATGGCAACCTATCAAGAGTACAGTACTGCCGGTCGCTGAAGAACGCAACGCCGAAGGACGACCAGGCTAGAATTTCACCAAGCACAGCAGACCAATGTATACACGGTGACTCAACTGTGCATAGACTACAATTCATGCAAGTAAGAACGGTCTAGGCTAAGAGGCTGACCCCCTCCCAGTACTGCAGTTCTTCAGCGACAAACAGTCCTGTCCACTCACTCCCTATCTCCATGGCCTAGCTTGCCGTCATCGCCTTCTCCCCACGAGTACACGGCGCCGTCCGTCGTCATTGCCAGCGCGTGGCGGCCGCCAGAGTGGATGTCCACTTTGCTCACCACGGCGCTGACTGGCAGGCCGGCCACGGGCTGCGGAGGGTACACGATGGTGCGTTCCGCCGTGACCGCTCCGATGCCAAGTCGGCCATGCTGGCTCTCACCGCATGCCACCACACGGCCACCGCTTGTCAGAATCAGGAGGCACTTTGATCCACCGGAGAACTGTGTGACGTCGATAGAAGACAACGTCTGGCACTTGGTAGGAACTTTCACCTGCAGACACACACACACACACAGACACACAGACACACACACACAGACACAGGCACACACAGACACACACACACACAGACAGACATATACACACACACACACACACACACAGGCACACACACAGACACACACACACACACACACACACACACACACACACACAGAGACACAGACACAGACACACACACACACACACACACACACAGACAGACAGACACACACACACACACACACACACAAAGACAGACAGACACACACACACACACACACATACAGACATATACACACACACACAGACAGACACACAGACAGACAGACACACACACACACACACACATACAGACATATACACACACACAGACAGACACACAGACAGACAGACACACACACACACATACACAGAGTAAATACACACATACAGTAAACACACACAAGGGCAGGTATACACATGAGCGCACATACAGTGTACAGTCAACTTCACTAATAACGACTGCGGATATAACGACAATTCGCGAATAACGACAGAATTTCCATGCCCAGAGCAAAGTCCATTCTACCTGTATGTATATAATGAGACTTCGGGTATAACGACACTTCGCGAATAAGGACACTTTTCTGATGCCCGGGCGAGTGTCGTTATACGCAAAGTTGACTGTACACCCAGCCATGTCCTCCAGAGAGTGAGCACTTCACAAAGCCTGGAGATTTATAGCCGCCTGTGCACACATACGTAACATGCACGCACTATTTGTGCCAAAATGTTAAAATTCTCGGTATCATCCAGCCGACCCTGAGCACTGGTCCAACTACCGAAAACAATGAAGCTACAATCTAATGCGGCTACGGCATGCGTGCCAAGATCTGGAGTTTGCCATTTCCATGGATGGATATAAGCAAAAAACACAAAAATACAGAAGATTGAAAATAAGAAGGTTCTTGCCCCTCCCACCTTTGATCCTTGAACACCGCCAAGCTGATCCTTGTCATTCAGACCCCACACAAAAACTTCACGATGACAAGGCTCCTTCAGATTCAACTTGGTCACATGATCTACTAGTGGATCGGAAGATTTCGCCTGCAATCCGCCCAGAGGAGCACGGAAGTCGAACACTAACTCGTTCTCTTGTTGATACGGATGGCAGAGTAGCTCTATACCGGTGATACGACACTCGTTGTTGCACTCTAGTGTGATGCGCAGAAAGCGGTTACACTGCAACAACAACAACGCCAACACGTGCACGCGCATAACACCCACACGCACGCACACACACACACACACACACACACACACATACACACACACACACACACACACACACACACACACACACACATCATTAGAAGAACAGTGTAGATCACAACTTCTCTACTTCTTATGCAGCACGGTTGTTGTAGAAGCGTGGTCAGTACGTTGCATTACCGTGAAGGGGTGGCCACCTCTCCCAACACCCACCCCCACTACCTATACAACGGTGTTGCTCAATGAAATCCAATCACGCACTGTAAGACCAGCTATTTTAACGTCAATCAAAGTTAACGATCTCCGGATTTTTGTGGGTTAGCGAGGTGAAATTCTAACGAATTCCGTCTCATGTACTCGTTTTGTACATATCGACTTCAAATGTTGACGGATTTTTTAAATTCGTTAAATCGTTAGAATTAAGGGGCCGTCCGTAAATATCGAACTTTTTTCACCAAATGAATTATTTTAGTTTAGACCCAACCCCTCCCTCCCTCCCCCTCAGAACGTAAAAATTGTTGACATATACATGCATATACAACAAAAGCCGCAAGTGGACACTGCTCCTATGGCCATGTACATGTATCGAAATTTTCTGAAACGAAATTGGTCAACCCCCTCCCACCCCATAACGAAATTATTTCGTTTCGTGAAAAAAGTTCGATAATTATGGACGACCCCTTTAAAATGCTCGCTAACATTACTGGTCCTACAGTAAGCGAACCAGTGTCGTGTGCTTTGCAGCCGCAGATCTGTGAACACTGGGTTGTGCACTGGTGGTGGAGGGCCAGGAGTTGTTTACGAAATCGGAGTTGGTTGAGCAGCACTGTAGAAAGCGCTGCGCCGGAAGATTGCGCAAAGCGCAGGGCAGGGCCGTAGCAGGCGGTCCGGCAGGTCCGGCAGCTGCCGGACCAATATTCGGCCAAAAAAAAAAAAAAAAAAAAAAAAAAAAAAGGAGCTCACACATGTAAGCAGCTCAGGATGTCCACCCATGATGTGTGCAATAAGTAGAGGTAGTGAGGTATACATGTACATGTGTATAAGCAAGTAAGTAGAGGTAGTAGATTCTACATGGTAATAGCAAGAGGACACTACAACATCGAGTGATTACTTTGAAGTTTGAACTCTAGTTGTACTCAAGTACATGTCATGTACATGTTGTTGCGAATACCATGTACATAGATCTATGTGGGTGTTGTTCTCTACTTTATGACCTCCTGCCATTCCTTCATTGCGATGTCCTTTCTCCTCCTCCAAGGGACCAAAGGTCCATTTTTGGTTCTTTTATCACATGCGTTCAGATACTGTTGCTATGCCTTCATAGGCTTCAACAAGTTCTGTTTGGACGGACACAACATGCTGATGCCCTTTTTTCTGACTCATGCAGAACATCCTTCTTCCTTTTCTCGCCCTATGTCACTCTGCATGGTCACAATTACATACAGTCATGTACATACTGGTACACGTACAATTATGTACATTTTGTACCTGTACAATGTACATGTACCGGCATATGTACCGGCATATGTACCGGCATATGTACCGGCATATGTAGGAGTGTGGGCTCGGGGGGGGGGGGGGGGCATCGAGGTCGGATCTTGCCGGACCAACCAATATGGGGCTGCTACGGGCCTGCAGGGCAAAACGGTTGTAGTGCTGAGTCACGCCAGCACGAGCCTGCCGACCTGATCTAGACTGCAAGAACATCATCCACAGTCAGACAGGAGCTTTGCTACAGTAATGAATGGAATTTGCGAGGCGGACATGAAATGCTGGAGCAACAAAACAACAATATAACGAATCTAGAAATTTCCCACACAAACCTTTTCAGTTGAATCAAACAAGACGACCTCCTGCAGGTCACCCGGCCTGGTGTGGGCAAGTTCCTTTGCAAAATCCACTCTCCCGATCTCCTCGGTCAGCAGGCCGGCACTGAAGCCGGTGCAGACAATGGCTGTGCGTGGCCTATTGGTGCTAGTGTTGTTCACTGTCATCGTGACCATCTTGAGTGAAGTGCCATGTTTGAGCTCCAGATCAATCCAATGCTGCAGGAAAGTAAAACCAACAGCAATTGCAATAGCAGCAGCAGCAGAACAAGCAGTGGCAGCAGCAGCAGCAGCAGAACAAGCAGTGGCAGCAGCAGCAGCAGAACAAGCAGTGGCAGCAGCAGCAGAACAAGCAGTGACAGCAGCAGCAGCAGCAGCAGCAAAACAAGCAGTGGCAGCAGCAGCAGCAAAACAAGCAGTGGCAGCAGCAGCAGCAAAACAAGCAGTGGCAGCAGCAGCAGAACAAGCAGTGGCAGCAGCAGCAGCAGAACAAGCAGTGGCAGCAGCAACAGCACAATGCCCACCAGGTCACATCGAGTGATGAATGTTGACAGTGCAGACAAGAACAGTGTTACTCTGGAAGCTCAACCGAACGGCAACACGGATGTGTGCCAGTATGCCACGCTGAATGCAACGTTTGTGATTAAACTCACACAATACATCTCTCGGTAGGCTGCTCTGGTGCTGCTGCATCACGGATCACTCGCTACTTTTCGTAGTTGGACCACTCTGGCGCTAGAGCAGCGAGTCATCTTTTAAAAATACCTGTGATGCCACCTTTGCACTATGGCTGGTAGCTCGGCTTACTTATAGCTCGTAGCTGTACTGATGAGGCCTGGGTGGCCGAAACAGCTTGCTGTCTACAGCATTGGGTACATCCAAGTATTACCGCAGCAACGTTCCACAATGGTCGTCCTTTTACCAGACGGAGCGTGTGCTACAGACTAGAGTACAGCGGCCCAGAAACAGCGTCTGGATTATACCAGCCTTCAAAGCACATCACATCACCTGCTGGCATACTAGTAGATGATCCAGGAACTCGTGTGCGTGTTGTACAGCTAAAACAAGTATTTCTTATCGATATACAGTAAAACCTGTCAAGGCGTCCACTCGGATAAGGCGACCACCTGTCCTAGAAGACCACCGCAACCAGGACCAAGGGATGCTATTTCCAGTCAAATTACCCTGGATAAGGAGACCACCTGGTAACAGAGACGACGTTTTGAAGGTCCCTTGAGCGGTCGTCTTAGACCGGTTTCTCTGGACTGGCACTAGTATAGTGCACACTGGGGAGATACTGTAGAACGGGTAATTTTAGCGACATAAAAACCCTAGCGAATGTAGCGATCTACTCATTTTCGCTAAAGTTTCAAGTCGCTAATCCGTTGAGACATTAGTAGTGCACTGGTGATCCGTGAGTGAAATCGCTGCAAATCGCTAAAATAAAACGTCGCTAACCGGTTGACAATGGGGAAAACCCTAAAATTAATAGTGGCTAAAATTACCCGTTCTACAGTATACCCGAGAGTAGTACATGCAGAAAGTGCACTGCGCTTCAGCAAATACGCTAGATCTACACTACTACTGCCCTTCATCGACAAGCAGATACTACTGACTGTGCTGCCATGCAGATGACACATGCAAACAGCGCTATGTCCAATGGTGATAAACAAGGGAAAGAGAACAAGACCAGCTATACGCATGGGCGTAGGGACAGGTACAGTACCTTCCTTGTGTCCTTCGCTCCGACCCAGAATGTTAGGGGATTATCGTCGTACAGGTTGGACATAGAGCTAGTGTTGGAAGACACTTGTACCTTCTCCACGCAGCGGTTGAAGTCCGCTATCAGCAGTTTCCCTGAAGACGCCACATGGCCGCACATGAGTTCATCATGCACACAACCGCAACACGCACGCGAATCACGCATGGCCAGCAGCAGCAGTGTGTTGTGTGCGTGCATGCGTGTGTGTACATGTGTGCACGTGTGCGTGCGTGCGTGTGTATGTGTGAACATCAACATCAGCGATCAAGTACACTTCCAGAGCTCGTCCACATGGGACATCCACAGATTCCTGGACACATTTCAACATACACGTACGCATGCCAATACAGTAAACCCTCCCCTAATCCGGGCAGGGTGGGACCGAGCACTGCCCGTAACTCCCCTAATCCGGGCAGGTTGGGACCGAGCACTGCCCGTAACTCCCCTAATCCGGGCAGGTTGGGACCGAGCACTGCCCATAACTCCCCTAATCCGGGCAGGTTGGGACCGAGTACTGCCCGTAACTCCCCTAATCCGGGCAGGTTGGGACCGAGCACTGCCCATAACTCCCCTAATCCGGGCAGGTTGGGACCGAGCACTGCCCGTAACTCCCCTAATCCGGGCAGGTTGGGACCGAGCACTGCCCGTAACTCCCCTAATCCGGGCAGGTTTGGGACCGAGCACTGCCCGTAACTAGGAATTGCCCATGACTCACAACACTGAAAACATACATACTTACTGCACGCAAGTAAACATTTCTTTAGGCCAATCAATAGGTTTCGGGGCCGTTTTTCGTTGAATACTGTAAGTCTATAAATTTTCGGCCTATTCAAATTTCGGCCTCCCAGGGCTAAAACCCAGTTTGGCCGCATCAAATTTTCGGCCTGTACTGCTGCTGCCTGTATACACTGTCACACTGAACCTTGCAAAACAAAATTCCGGCTGGAACAAATTCTCGGCCAAACAAGACCAGGCCGAAAATAGCCGAAAATGAATATGCGCCGAATATTTGTTGACCTACAGTAGCCAATATTAATAGGACTCTATATGGGTCAGAAACGTGCCCGGTAGACAGACGCGCCCGGATTAGGGACGATTGGATTAGGTTTTTTTTACTGTACTCGTCAGGCAGTTTAACCCTTTAGGGCCCACAATTATTTCAAGAAATGCACTGCATACGCGAGCCCGGGTACTTATTTGGTCGTAACTTTGGTGTCCTTTGGCCGATTTTGGTGATCTTGGGCTTTCTGGAAAGCTCTTGGCCAGAGGAACACAGCGATAGCCAGCAATACATCACTCGATCCACAGAACCAGCGCCGCAGCGCGATACGGCGCTCCAAAGCCAGCATTGCGAGCGCCCAACTCAAATTCTCTGCCATTTCAACAAATTGCATCGCAGATCGCTCAAATTTTTTTACTGGAGAGCTGAGAAACACGCCTTTGCGATGACGTGAACTATCTGTAGCTGCGTGGGCCGCGAGTCAGGGGAAACCCCTAAAAACGAGTTCAAAATGCACGCGCTCGAGTTGACTCTGCTGAGCGAATTTAGTTCGAGTCTCGTATCTCCGCTCTCCGAACTCGGATCGCTTTCGGGTTTTTTCGAGCCGACATCTGAGACAATTCTAATGTCGATAGCCCTTTCGATTGTCCGATTTGGTCAAGGGGCGGCCGAGTTACGCCAGGTTGCGCTTTGAAAAGTATGCACTGTACACTGGTACGGATATATCCGTACTATGGGCCTCAAAGGGTTAAAGGTACAGTCAGACCTCGTTAGTACGAACTTCAAGGACCGAACAAGTTTGCTTGTCTCATCGGGAGTTCTTATTATCCAGACCTGACACGAAAATTGATTATTATATGCGTATCATAAGGATTGTATTTATGTGAAGGTGCATGCTGTGGCAAATGTATAACATTTTTTTCATAACATTACCCCAGCAACAGATAAGTACAATGTGCAATGAATTCATGACAGCATGTCCTCCGCCTTGTAACATATTTTGCCAGTACAAGAGGTCTCGGCAATCGGAAAAAAACTACAGCCAGTGCACCCACGGGGACCGAAAGTTCGTACTGCACGCTGATTTTGTTCAAATCACGCTTGAAATTAGTTCGTCTTCGCGAAATTTCGCCATACAGAAGTTCGTCGTAAACGAATAATTTTGACTTGATATGATGCCTGGCCAACCCTGGGACTGGCCCTAGTTCGTACTAAAGGAAAGGTCGCCTTATCAGTGTTCGTTCTAATGAGGTTTGACTGTACACGTGTGTGGCCTGCCATACACATGTCAAATGTAGCATGGAGACCCGGAAGAGACTTAAACAAACACATGTACTGAAGTACCCTAAATGCAGAATATTTGGCAAGTCTCATACTCTGGCATACGCATGGAACTCAATGCTTCTGACATTTCCATCGACCACAATTACTAGTTAGGCTCCGCAGACTTCACTGCAACTGTACATTACTTATGTCGTGACCCGAAGTTTGAAGGCGGACCACGCGGCAGCTGGTGAAGACAGCCAGGCATCTACCAGAAACCTTAGCCACACAGATCCGCTAATGCATATCTTACCCACTTTGGGGTGGCCGAGCATGTACCTGCGCACCATCAAGGCCACGCAGCGCCCCTGCTCCTTGCCAGGGTCCGCGTGCGCAAAGAACTCGGACACGCGCAGCGGGTTCTTCGATGCCCAGAAGCAGGGCTTGCACAGGTTAAAGTCAGTGTGCTTGCGACTGAAGCGAGGGCCGATGATGGGCGACATCTCGCAACGGTCACAACTGAAGGAAACACAGATGGAATAAACACATACAAGAGAATGTTGGAGAGTGTTTCTAGACATGATACGTCGCTGTGTCTTCAGTCTAGCCCGTTTCATCCTATCCGTCTTTTTCAACACGCATGATAGAGGCGTGAAACTTGGCAACACATAATTTCTGGAAGGCAACCCTTGATACACATTGATCCCATCGATCGATCAATCGATCAATCGAGAGAGAGAGAGAGAGAGAGAGAGAGAGAGAGAGAGAGAGAGAGAGAGAGAGAGAGAGAGAGAGAGAGAGAGAGAGAGAGAGAGAGAGAGAGAGAGAGAGAGAGAGAGAGAGAGAGAGAGAGAGAGAGAGAGAGAGAGAGAGAGAGAGAGAGAGAGAGAGAGAGAGAGAGAGAGAGAGAGAGAGAGAGAGAGAGAGGATACCGAGAGACAGAGATAGACACACACAGCGAGAGAGAGAAACATATATGTACAGGCTATATCAACTCATCATTCCAACCTGAACGTCAGATGGATGGCAGGGGCCTTCTCCAGGTCGTAAATACAGCAGTAGCGGCCGGGTTGATCATCAAAGCTCACGATGCACTGTGACGATCCGTCCGAGGGCAGCTTCATCAACTTACCACGGCTCTTGTGAGTAATGTTCCCCCACGCCCGGGAGTCCATGTGGATCCAAGATCGCACCCGCACAGGGTCACACACCTACGAACAAACAGAAGAAGAAAACAATAGAAAGGTCCTTGTAGATCCGGTGAGGTCAAATGGAGAGATAACTACTAACTACTACAGGTAGGGTAGGATGAATCAGGGGCGGATCCGGGGGGCGGCGGATCCGGGGGGGGGGGGCGGGGGCGGATCCGGGGGCGGATCCGGGGGGGCGGATCCGGGAGGGGGTACCTAAATTTTGCAAATGTGCTACCGGAAAACGTATGCATGCACATGTACATGCATCAGCTATCCCGTTTTGGCTAAACTGGAACCCCCCTGTAGAGATTTCTGTATCCGCCCCTGTGAATGAAGACATATCGCTACGCTTGGAGCACTCCGAGCACTCACCTTAACACGGTAATGTCTGTCTAACGGATTGTGCACAAGCTCCAGTGCACGGATGTTGACCAACTTTTTCTGGGTGCCTCTGCGCGCAAGTCCCTCCATCATAAACTTCACCCTGACTTTCTCGCCTACCACCACTTCACCACCGTCACCTTGCTGCAGTGCAAACAATGTGAGAAACACGGCGGGTCATGTACATGCATACGAACAATAATAAGAGGATGAAAAAAGTGTTTTTACTCCGAGTTTCACGCACTAAGCGATCATCAGAAAACAGTGATGAGTAAATCCGGATACTGGTTTATATACCCACAAGCAAAAGTGTAAATGACAGCAGTCGTGACAGATTGCATCATGGCGTACATTTAAACGGTGCAAATGACAGCAGTGGTGAAAGGTATCACTTCAAGTGACAAGCACTGGAGCTGGCTGTCTCCTACTTGATTAGGTGATGCCTGCGGATGGTTTGAAGTGTTTGGCCACTAGCTGGAGGAAGCGATGTCCGACGTCAATGGAGACGTTCTTGCTAAACGGTGGATTGAACCAATGATGTTCCGGTTACGATTCCTTTTCTTCTTATTTTTTTTGTCCCGTCAGTTTTACGCCCATCAAAGCACTGTACGTTCTCCCGGTATCCATTCTCTCTCAGTGCGTCACTGTAGATCGGAGTCGCACCTCTGAACACGTCCTCATCATTGGAAATGTCTGTTAGTCTTCTGCTGATCGATGCAGGTAGGTTCTGGATGATTGTAGGTGGATGACTTGACTGGTAGTTGTTATACATCGGCTTGTCGTTCGGTTTCCGGTAAGGACAGTACTTTCCGATGGTCAGGTCCAATGTCACGTCCAGAAAGTCGACTCTCTTCAGGTTTGTCTGTATCGTTATTTTCAGTCCGACGTTCTGGAATATTGTGGTCATCTCCTTTCTTATTCGGTCAGCTTCATGTCCCGACACATTCCTGAACAGCTAGTGGCCAAACACTTCCCTAAAGGCTCAAGTCTCAACAAAATCTTCAACCGTAACTCGGTAAAAGTTAGCCACAGTTGTATGCAGAATATGGCCACCATCATCAAACAACACAATAACACGATCCTACGACCCAAGAAACAAGCCAACGGAGGGTGACAACGACACCAGGACTTGTAATTGTTCGAAGAAAGAAATACGTCCATGCGAATGGAGCGTGTCTAACGGAGAGCATTTTGTATAAGGCAAGAGTCACCACAGGTACAGAGAAGAAGGAATATACTGGATTAACAGCAACAACATTCAAACAACGCTACTATAACCACCAATCATCATTCCGCCACAGACAACACGAGAAGGACACCCGCCTATCGCAGTATGTCTGGGTCAAGAAGGATGAAGGGAAGCCATGCAGCATTCACTGGGCAGTACACTGCAAAGCGGTGGCCTACAGCAACAAAAGCAAAAGGTGGAACCTATGCCTGGCGGAAAAATTAGCAATCGCGCAAGCACCCAAGCACCTCTCTCTCTCAACAAGAGGAGTAAGCTTGTGTCAAAGTGTCGCCACGAGAATAAGTACTACCTTCGGAACTTCAAACCATCCACAGGCATCGCCTAATCAAGTAGGAGACGGCCAGCTCCAGTGCTTGTCACTTGAAGTGATACCTTTCACCACTGCTGTCATTCGCACCGTTTAAATTTACGCCATGATGCAATCTTTCACGACTGCTGTCATTTACACTTTTGCTTTGTGGGTATATAAACCAGTATCCAGATTTACTCATCACTGTTTTCTGATGATCGCTTAGTACGTGAAACTCGGAGTAAAAACACTTTTTTCATCCTCTTATTATTGTCTGAACTAGCTCTGCCTTTCGGTATTGAGCACTATATTGGACAGCCTGGAACCTCTCTGTTTTACATGCATACACATACACATGAACGCACGCTTTCCAATCACTCTATGACCCTCGCTTCTAAACAAAATACTGCCTTTTCATGGATGAGTTTTTGCAATATAAGATACACATATAATGTACCCATGTCGAAGGAAACGAGGACTGAAAAATGCACCCGTTGAGTGGTAGGAACATACAAAGGCGACAGCACATCAGTATATAAACGCACACACACACACACACACACACACACACACACACACACACACACACACACACACACACACACACACACACACACACACACACACACACACACACACACACACACACACACACACACACACACACACACACACCCACACACACGCATACGCACATGCACACGCACATACAAGGGAAATGAGAGAGAGAGAAACAATGTGTCTCTTACCCCTTCTAGTTGTCCCACCGAGCCGTCAACCATCCCGGAAACAGAGCGGCAGCACACCCAGCTGCCGACACTCAGGGCCGCTCTCAAAAAGCCAATATACCCCTGAGTAGAGTTAAAGTCTTCCTGGCGGCGCAGCCGATGGCTGTCCACCGATAACTTCTCCCACCAGCTCCGACCCAGGGATTTGAACATCGAGTTGACACTGTCAGTCTCCTGTCAGGCAAAAACATATTGCACATACAGGGAAACCTGTCAAGGCGACCACTCGGATAAGGCGACCACCTGTCCTAGACGACCACTGGAACCAGGATCAAGGGATGCTATTTCCAGTCAATTAACCCTGGATAAGGCGATCACCTGGTAACAGAGAGCACGTTTTGAAGGTCCCTTGAGCGGTCACCGTCTTAGACAGGTTCACTGTACATTGAACCAAACGTACATGAAACCCAGAGTGTGCAGCTCAAATGGGCTGCTGTCATGGCAAACTTCCTGGATTACAATCATTCTACTTGTAGTCAGGTACAGTACTGTCGGGTAGCGCCGAAGAACGACCAGGCTAGAATTTCATCAAGCACAGCATACCAATGTATACGGGGTGACTCAACCATGCATAGACTGTAATACATGAACAAAAGAACGGTCTAGGCTAGGAGGCTGACCCCCAGTTCTTCGGCGACCGACAGTACTGTAGTGCATACAAGCAGGATTGAAGCAGATCTCCTGCTGCACAACTGCAGCGCAGTTGTAAACATCACACCACTTCCCGCCGCTTATCTGCCCCCCCCCCTCCGTTTCGAAATGTGTTAGGTTTAAAAAAAATGCAAACTTATGAGATTCTCCCTTAGCGTGCAGAAAATTTCCAATGAAATAAGCATTACAAAGCCCAATGGCTCAGTGTCCTACTTGGGTGCTGTGTATGTGTGTGTATGGGTGCGTGGGGTAAGGGAACTTTTGCTGACTGAATTGTCTGAAGTTGGTCCTGGAAGAAGTTCAGATAATTATATTAAATTTTTCGAATTACGCCATACACGTACATACTCAACTTATGAGGATGCCACATGCAGCTAACTTACCTTCAATGGTGAAGGGTCCATAAGAGCTTCTACAATGCCCTCCACGTCCAAATCTTCACCGACGGAATCCTCGCTATCCTCGAGCACTGCAGACAAGTCTCTCTCGGACTCCTCTGCCATCTCGTTAGTAGCCGTCGTCGAC